CTCAATGGACCTCCTTGCCTCCTACTTCACAGAGAAAGGGGAGATCATCAGGCATAATTTTCTCAGCTTTTTGTTCCCTTAAATGCGAACTCAGAGACATCTGTGCCTAACCTCCTTTTCGTTCATTCATTCTGAAATCTCCTTTGTTTTCTTCCATCAGCCTTTTCACATCTACCATTCCAAGTTCTCAGCCTGAAGCTGTCTTCCCAAGTCTGTCACACACTCCAAAAGGAAAAAGTGCCCTTGTCATGTGCCCTCCTCGCTGCCCCCCGCCCCCAGTGTTTCCTTTCCTTCCATTCCAGTTTAATCAAGAGTCACCACTCTTGTTTCCTTTTCCCTATTTTGATTCACTTCTCAGTCCTCTGCTATCATCACCACTTGCCTCTCAGCTACTGATAGGTCATTAATGCCTTCCTATTTGCCACCCCCAGCAGACAGATGTATTTCAGTCCTTATCCTGGGTTTCCCTTTGAGTCTGATGTAAAGGAGTCTTTGTTGAAATGTTACTTCCTTGATACCACACATTTCTGGTCCTCCTTGTTCTCCTTGGCTGTTCCAGCTTGTGTCCTTCAAGTTTCTCTTCCTCCACCTCTTTCTTAAATGTTGGTGTTTCCCAGGGCTTTATCTTAGCCCTCTGTTCTTCTTACTTGATAAGGTCTCATTGGAAGATTACGACTGGTTCCATATCTTTCAGCCACTGCCTCTGTGCTGTGCTGACTTCTAAACTTTTACCTCCAGTTCCTAAGCTCTGCCACAAGCTTCAGACTCAAATAAATAAATGTGGTATCTGATATATGCTTCAGACTCAGCAAAACCATCTTTTTTTTTTTTTTTTAAGATTTTATTTATTTATTTGTCAGAGAGAGAACAGAAGCAGGGGGAGCGGCAGGCAGAGGGAGAAGCAGGCTCCCCGGTGAGCAAGGAGCCTGATGTGGGACTCGATCCTAGGACCCTGGGATCATGACCTGAGCCAAAGGCAAACACTTAACCAACTGAGCCACCCAGGCGTCCCTCAGCAAAACCATCTTGAACATGTTGACCATGTTTATATTGTATTAGCCTTTTTTTTAAAGATTTATTTATTTTTTTTAGAGAGAGTGAGAGAGAGCACAGGCAGGAGGGGCAGAGGGAGAAAGAATCTCAAGCAAACTCCTCACTGAGCATGGAGCCTGTGTATTAGCTTTTTAAAAACAGCTGCCTCACATTTCATGAGGTAACTTAATAAAGTCGCTTTAGTAGGTAATTCACCTTTAGTCCCAGCATCTACATAATAACCAGCTTTAACCTTTTGTTCTATTTTCTTACAGAATTTTCCAATGCTCAGTTTTACATTGTTTAAATCATATAATATAAACAGTGTTCATCTTTTTGCTTACCATAATGTGATATTTTCCACTCCTTAAGAAATCTTTGCATTGTATTCTAAATATATAATATGCAATAAAACAGATAAGCATTAATATTTAAACAATCTCCCATTTTTTATCTAATTTTTATTTTTGTTGATATATTTTAAGATAAATTCCAGATATCAGATTATTTTTAGTGTACATCTATTTTTAGTGTATCATTATTTTTAGTGTACATCTATTTTTTTAATGGCTTTTTTTTTTTAATCACAGTGTGCTCTTGGATTTTTCAAATCAGTATTGCTTTTGGGGTTTTTTTAAACAGTTATTGGTGCATCTGAAAAGTCTGTAGTCAGTTAACACTTCAGTCAGGTCTTTTCCAGTTATTTCAGTGGGTGCATCACCCTCTTTACTGACATGCTTTCAAAGTACAAGTATGGAGTAGACAGAGTCATGACTGAGAAATTATGGGGAAACTCTAGTGGAAGAGGATTTAGGATTGAAGAAGAGCCGGTGGTCACGCCAGGGCTGGCAGCCAGCAGACAAGAGTCTTGGACCTGAAATGTTATAGTTTACCAGCAGAAAGCTATTCCGGGACAGTACCATATTTTACATGTGTTACACATGTTTTGATAAAACCGAAGCATTGTTGGTGAAAGGATTATACTGTTTCTCTTTCTAGGTCTTTCTGGAACCTTTTGCTATATTTTTATTTCTTTTCATTCATTCATACAAGTATCCTTGAGTGCCCACTACGTCCCAGGCAGCCCTGTAGGTAAAAACCTCAGCCATCAAGGAGTGTACATTCTGTGTATAGAGTTAGGAAATAAGATGAAAAAAGCAAAATATATGATATATAAGATAGGATATATAAGTGACATGGAGAAAATAAATGATCTGTAAGATTCAAATGGTGTGGAGAAAAATACAGTATGGAAAAGTAATAGGGAATGTTCAGGGAGTGGGGTTACAATTTTTTAAAATATGGCCAAGGCCAGTCTTCTCATTGAGAAGATCACATTTTGAGTAAACACCTGAAGGCGGTAGGGGACTGAGCTATGCCAAAGTCTAGGGAAAAGTATTAGGCAGAGGGAGCACCAAGTTGTAAAGAGCCTCAGGCAGAAATCTGCCTGCCGGTCTGGGGCCAGGAAGGAGGTCAGTGTGTTCTTAGAGTAGTGACTTAGGGAAAGAGGAATAACAGGTGAGGACCGGGAGTGATGAAGGCCTTTGTAAGAACTTTGGCTTTTACAGACAGGTGATGTAGAAACCATTGGCAAGTTCTGGGCCTGAGTGGCATCATCTAATTTGCATTTTAACAGGCTCCCTCTGGCTGCTGTGGTGAGAATAGACTGAAGGGGGCAAAGGCAGAAATAGGAAGATTAGTTAGGAGGCCATTTTAATAACCCAGGTGAAGAGATAGTGGCTTGGGCCATAGTAATAGCAGCAGGGCTTGGATTCTAGATGTATTCTGAAGGTAGTGCCAGCAGGATTTACTGTCCGATTCAACATGGGATGTGAGAGGAACAGCCTTTGCAGAGGGCTGAGTAGAGCTTTGTGGGTTATTCAAAGTTGGCAGTTGTTCCCACATTACTATATGTATGTGCATACTAGTGGTCAGTTTCACTGTGACTGGATTTAGAAACATCACATATAAAACAATATTAACAAGCCATAAACTTAATGAATAAGAGAAACAATACAATAAAAAGACAGCCTTCAGGGCAGAAATCAAAACAGCAGTCGATCATAGGGTTCTCATGTATGTTCCCAACTTCACTTACTTTTTTGTGTCCTTTAATTCTCAGTTCTGTCCTAGAATAGTCAATAGGCATTTTCTACAAAATTTATTCCAAGTGTAATTCTCACAAACTATTCCTCTGCCACAGTCAGGCTCTTGTATGTAGATGACTCACTCATAATCTCACTCTTTACTGAGCTCCCTCTTACTTACCCCTTCAGAATCTTCCACACGTAGCATGCTAAATGGTAGGAAATGTAATTAACTTTGTTATTCAGAGACATTAACTGATGCAGAATAGGGTATCCCTGCTTTTAAGAAAGAATCTAAGTCTGGTTCTTTAGTTTTTTAAAATATAATTCAGTTTTTGATGTGTTTATGGGTTATCTAAAGTGACTAGATTTCCCTTTATCAGCCACACAAAATCTTTATTCCAGGCTTTCATCAGAACAAAAGAGCTATCTCAAAAACTACTGAAGCCTGAAACTTTCAAGGGAGAGAGGTTATAGAACAGACTAGATGATACTCATTTATTTCTTCATCCATTCATTTAATAAATACTTACTGAGCACCTGCTAATGGCCAGGCATTGGAAATAAAACAGTGAGCAAGGCAGACAATGCCCTGGCCCTGCCTCACAGACCTTATAGTCCTTGTGTTCTATATTTCTTTTGCCATTAAATTGGGCAAACAGAAAGTAATCTTAGGAAAGCTAATATTATAAAATGATTAAAATATGAGCTTTGTGACCTTAGGTAAGTGATTGAACCATTCTGAGCCTCAGTTTCTTCATCTATAAAATGGTACCTATATTACAGCCTTGTTAAGAGAATTAAATATGTGTAAAGTGCTTTAGCACAGCATTTATTTAAGGTTAATTATTTTATTCTTAAAGCCTATTTGGACCCAATAACAAATAAAATAGTTTTATGAAACAAATTCTAAAAGTATGGACTGAAAGGGGTGCCTGGGTGGCTCAGTTAAACATCTGCCTCTAGCTCAGGTCATGATCTCTGGGTCCTGGGATTGAGCCCTGTGTCAGGCTTCCTGCTCAGCAGGGAGTCTGCTTCTCCCTCTGCCCCTCCCTTTCACCCTGCTCATGCTCTCTCTCTCAAATAAATCTTGAAAAAAAAAAGTATGGATTGAAAAAAGAAATTCTCACACACACACACACACACACACACACACATACACACACCTCTGAGAGCACCTGACTTTACCTCAGATCTAGAAAGGCTTTGCTGAGATCGTGTTTGAGGAAAAGTCTGGAAGTGGGTGAAAGTATTAAGGAATCCATCTGGGAGGATTCTTATGACACTGATCTCCCTCACCAAATGCTGGGCTTCTGGAGCCAGGGTCTGTCTCTCCTTTAGTCTAGTAACCCTACCATGGGATTATGGTAAACACCAAGAATATCTTTGTTGAGTAGATCAACTAGAGACTTTCATGGCAACTACTAGAAGAGATGTTACCACCCTGGGTTGTTGGAACCTGTCCAGGCCTAGGTTTCTTTCACCTGACCACTGCAGCTTCATGAGCCCCTTCCTGAATCCATGGATCTGGATCAGATTCAGAGGAGGCAGGGCAAGGTGCTACAGTTGTTGCTTCTGAGGATGCTTAAGCTGTGTTATAAGGGGCATTTGGCTACTCTGGTCAATTCATTGGCAGTTTCTTGGCAATGTTTCCTCAATTGTGTGAATCCCCACCTGAATGTCCACTTCCTAAGTCTTCTTCCTCAGCATATTCCTGTCCCTTCTTGTCCCCAAACACTGAACAACCACCTTACTTAGAATCAGACATACTTAAAACCTTTGTGTTTGGATTCTTCCTTCAAATGCCTTGCTGATCCTTGGTTGACTAAAATAAGGAATGTTTTTCTGTGTTTGAATTAATTCATTTGGTTTTTTAAACAGGCTCTCTAATTGAACAGCTAACTACAGAAAAATATGAGTGTATGGTGTGCTGTGAATTGGTTCGCGTCACAGCACCAGTGTGGAGTTGTCAGAGCTGTTACCATGTGTTTCATTTGAACTGCATAAAGAAATGGGCACGGTCTCCAGCATCTCAAGCAGGTCAGTCATTTCTCTCTTCTGAATAGTTATTCTCACTCATTTGATATATTCAGGTTTTAAACTTAGCTTTTTTTTTTTTAAGATTTTATTTTTTTTCTTTTATTTATTTTTATTTATTTATTTATCAGAGAGAGCGTGCACACAAGCAGGGGAAGCGGCAGCAGAGGGAGAAGCAGGCTTCCCGCTGAGCAGGGAGCCCAATGTGGGACTCGATCCCAGGACCTTGGATCATGACCTGAGCTGAAGGCAGACGCTTAAGTGACTGAGCCACCCAGGCGTCCCTAAGATTTTATTTTTAAGTATACCCAATATGGGGCTCCAGCTTACAACCCTGAGAGCGAGTCATACTCTCCACCGACTGAGCCATCCAGGCACCCCTTAAACTTAGGTTTAAAAATAACTAATTCCTCTTGAATATTTTATCTGCGCTGTTGCCTTGAACACATGTTTTAGATGACTAGTATGAAGCTGTAGATCTTAAATAAAGAACTAAGGGGTGCCTGGCTATCTCAGTTGGTAGAGCATGCAACTCTTGATCTCAGGGGCGTTGCGTTCAAGCCCCATATTGGGCACAGAGCTTACTTAAAAGGTAAAAATAAAATAAAATTTTTATTTATTTATTTATTTTAAGATTTAATTTATTTATGTGGCAGAGAGAGAAAGCAAAAGAGGGAACACAAGCAGGGAGAGTGGGAGAGGGAGAAGCAGGCTCCCCGCTGAGCAGGGAGCCCAATGCGGGGCTCGATCCCAGAACCCTGGGATCATGACCTGAGCTGAAGGCAGATGCTTAATGACTGAGCCACCAGGCGCCCCTAAAATACAATTTTTTAAAAAAAGGAAATTTAAAAAACAGCTTAACATAACAATATTAAAATATATTTGGGATATAACAAAATCAGTTACATTTATTGAAAATGGTAGCTTTTATCCAAGTAGCAATTACAGAAAACATTTCCTGTATAGTTTGCTTTAGAAAATTTATAGAAAGCAGTTATTGGGATGCCTGGCTGGCTCAGTTGGTTAAGCAACCAACTTGTGATTTCAGCTCAGGTCACGATCTCATGGGTTGTGAGATCGAGCCCTGCAGAGTTGAGCCTCTGTGCTCAGCATGGGGTCGGTGGAGTCCTCTTGAGAGATTCTCTCTCTCCCTCTCTGTCTCCCTCTGGCCCCCCTCCCCTGCTTGTGCTCACTTGTGCTCTCTCTCTTTCTCTAAATAAATAAATAAAATAGCCACCTGGGTGGCTCAGTTAAGTGTCTGACTTTGGCTTGGGTCATGATCTCAGGATCCTGGGATCTTGCCCTGCCTTAGGCACTGCACTCAGCGGGGAGTCTACTTGTTCCTCTCCCTCTGCCTCTCCCCCTGCTCATGCACACACTGTCTCTCTCAAATGAATAAATAAAATCTTTTTAAATAAATAAAATCTTTAAAAGTTTCCTTAAAAAAAAATAACATGTTTTCTGATTTGTGACTCTTCTAATTTAAGGCATCTGAGGGTGCCTGGCTGGCTCAGTCGGTAGAGCATGCAGTTGTTGATAGCGGGGTTGAGGGTTCGAGCCCCATGTTAGGTGTAGAGATTACATAAAAATAAAGTCTTAAAAAAAAAAAAAAGACATTTGGGTTTTCCTGAATGTACTCAAATATTTTATCCTCTTTTTTTTTTTTAAGATTTTATTTATTTATTTGACAGAGAGAGACACAGCGAGAGAGGGAACACAAGCAGGGGGAGTGGGAGAGGGAGAAGCAGGCTCCCCGCTGAGCAGGGAGCCCGATGCGGGGCTCGATCCCAGGACCCTGGGATCATGACCTGAGCCGAAGGCAGATGCTTAACAACTGAGCCACCCAGGCACCCCCCTCTTTTTTTTTTTAAGCCAAGACTTAGATGATGTTTACCTTAATATTAGAGGGGCACCTGGGTGGCTCAGTCGTTAAGCGTCTGCCTTCGGCTCAGGTCATGATCCCAGGATCCTGGGATCGAGCCCCATGTCGTCAGGCTCTCTGCTCAGCAGGAAGCCTGCTTCTCCCTCTCCCACTCCCCCTGCTTGTGTTCCCTCTCTCGCTGTGTCTCTGTCAAATAAATAAATAAAAATCTTTAAATCTAACATCTTTTTTTTTTTTAAGATTTTATTTATTTATTTGAGAGAGAGAGAATGAGAGAGAGCACATGAGAGGGGGGAGGGTCAGAGGGAGAAGCAGACTCCTTGCCGAGCAGGGAGCCCGATGCGGGACTCGATCCAGGGACTCCAGGATCATGACCTGAGCCGAAGGCAGTTGCTTAACCAACTGAGCCACCCAGGCACCCTAAATCTAAAATCTTAAAAAAAAAATAAAGCCCCGAAGCGGGGGCACACACTTAATGACTGAGCCACCCAGGCGCCCCTAAATAAAATCTTTAAAAAAAAAAAAGAACCACATAATGAATTGATAATCATGTGAAGTGATGGAGGTGTTAGCTAATGTGACAGTGATAATCCTATTATAGTTTATAAATGTATCAAGTTAACATGTTGTACATCTTAAACTTAGTGTTATGTCAATTATATCTCACTTGACATTAAAAAAAATGGGTACCTGTTTGATTACTATATTTAAAGTCCTTATATATAAATCCAAATGCAGTATTTAAGCAGAGCATTCAGTATTGTGAATTTGTTTCTTAATATCCTGATATCCTTAATATCTGATATCTTTAACATGAAATGACTACTGCTGCTATAATATTAAGGCTTCCTTTAGGTTTAAATTTTTAAAAATTACATGTACTTTTGTAAGGAAATTATTTTGGTTTCCTCTCCTTTTTCTTGACAGATGGCCAGAGTGGTTGGAGGTGCCCTGCCTGTCAGAATGTTTCTGCACATGTTCCTAATACTTACACTTGTTTCTGTGGTGAGTTTTTTTTGCTTTCACTTGAGTCTCTTCCACTTCATGCATTGTAACTCATTTTCCAACCCAGAAGAAGTGATGTACCAGGCATATTTTAGAAGTTCCTAATAAGACTTCAAGGTTCCAGGAGTTTACTGACATCATCTGCCTATGGTCCATCACACAGCCGGAGTCACAGGCCTTTGTGCTTTTGGCAGGCTTTTCTGGACATGGGCCTTCTCATCATGCCCACCAGGCTCATGCTACTTCTGAGCTGTGGTGCTGGTCTCCGTGATCTTTTTTTTTTAAGATTTTATTTATTTGACAGAGAGAGACAGAGCGAGAGAGGGAACACAAGCCGGGGGAGTGGGAGAGGGAGAAGCAGGCTCCCCGCTGAGCAGGGAGCCCGATGTGGGGCTCGATCCCGGGACCCTGGGATCACGACCTGAGCCGAAGGCAGATGGCTAACGACTGAGCCACCCAGGTGCCCATGGTCTCCGTGATCTTACCTTTAGACCAGAGATCTTACCTGACCAGATGGTGGAGGCAGGCATAGACATGGGCTCCTTCTCACCCTTAACTGTAACAGCTTTGATATTCCAGATTTGAGCAGTATGAGTAAAGTGTTGAAAAGTACTTTATTTTAACCCAGGAAATCAGTCATTGGGGGTCTTTATAGTAAAGAAAGATTTTCTATAAACCAGCATTACAAACTCTATCCTCCCTCTTTGTGGAAAACTTCTTCCTGTTTTTGAATAGCTCAATTCCCCTATGTGTTAAGACGAACTTTCTTCAATCCAGATGCTCATTCTTGCTGCTAGTCTATTTTCTGCATGTTTTTTATTATTTTTTTTTCTTTCCTGCCTTTTAATGGCTAACCTTCATCTAGTTGTTGATTTTTCAAATTTTGTTTAACTGTCTGTCTCCCTTCTTGAACCATTGCATTTTTGCTTCTTTCTTTGTCACCTTGCTGCATCTGTTTTCAGAAGTCATCAGTGGCCCATACCTGACCAAATCCAGGGCTGATTTAGAAGTTCTTAACCTTTTTGGCAACACAGTAGCCCTTGGACCTTTTGGCCATTCCTTTCTTGAAATGACTAGCTCTTCCTGTTTATTTCTGTAGGCTTTAATTTGCTCATATTTTTTCTTTCCCATTACTTAACTAGCAGCTTTCACTGAGAGTTAGTCTTGACCATCAAGTCTTCATTAGTCTCTTGGTGAACTCAACTATGTTCTTCCCCATCTTCTCTTTAAATCTTCATCACTGACTCCTCATCCATTCAAGATCAGACCCCAAACATTGTTTTCCAAAGGAAGCCTTCCTTTCTTATCTCCTCTCCCACTTTGGCCACTCTTTTATTTGGAATCTGCTGGTCTTTTATGTTTTATTGCCACAATCTGAGCCTTAAAAGATAGTAAAATAGTATTTGTTGAAGCAATGAATATTTTGGAATGTACTATTGGAAAGGCAACCTGAAACTGGAAGCAAGAGATCCATGTAAAACTATACAAATAGGACCAACACCAAAGCTTAATTACCTTATTTTAAAGGATTTTTAAACATAAAACATAAAACATAAAAAGTGGAATTAAAAGTCTTGTTAAAGCCTTCACTGACCGATCTCAAGTGAAGAAGAGTAAAAGTGTATAATGGGTGTTAGAGTGGGCGAGAAAGGAAGGGGGTACAAGATTTCAAAGGTAAACAGGAACTAAGAGCAGTGGGAAGGGGAAGAGCCTACATGTGGCTCCAAAGTTTCATGCTTTGGAAATGGTGATACCAAGGGCAGAAAAAGGCAGGTCAAGAGAACCAGGATTGATAGGGACAGTGAGTTCAATTTGGAAATGTTGAGTAGGATGAGTGAACAAGGCATCCAGTGAGAGGTGTCCAACAAGGAGTTAGGAATATTTAAAGATGTTTTTGTTATTATTATTTGAAAGAGAGCATGAGCTGGGGGAGGGGCAGATGGAGAAGGAGAGGCAAGACTCCCCGCCAAACAGGGAGCCCGATGCGGGGCTCGATCCCAGGACCCTGGCTGGGATCATGACCCCAGCCAAAGGCAGGCACTTAACCGGCTGAGCCAACCAGGCGCCCTGGGAGCTGGGAATATTTAAAGAGAGATCAGGACTTAGAGATGATAGTTGCAGTTGAGAGTAGTGGATGGAAGGGCAAGGAGTAAAAAGGGTCTAATGCAGAGCCCTGGCAGAAAGAAGAAAAATAAAACATCATTTAGAGTCAGGGAAAAGAGGTGGAGCCATTGAAAGATGGTAGGGGGAACCCAGGGCATTGTATTAAAGCAAGAGAGCACAGAGGCGGGGAAGTTTTTCTAATAGTCTGGAGTTGAGATTCTGGCAAATAGACAAGAGTAGAAGTAGCAGGAGAGTTGAGGTGAGATACACTGTGTAGGGAAATTGAGAAGATTTGGTGATTAAGTAGATTATGGAAAGAAAAAGAGAGTCAGGGATGACTCTAGTTTTTCAGTCTGTGACTCCCGACAGTGATGGTGTTACTGACAGAAATAGGAAACACTGAAGAAGGAGGGGTTAAAGGGAAAAGATACTAACTTTGGCTGTAAATGTAGACAGTTTGGGGTGACTGTAACACCTCACATGGAGATGTTCAGCAGATGGGTTGGACAGAGAGGGCCGGAACTGAGGATTCAGGGCAATGCAGAAAGTGTAGATTTGGGGGGAAAAAAGGAAAAAGAAAGAAAATGTAGATTTGGGAATCACAGGCCTTTAGGTACAACGAACCTCTCAACATGAATAAGGTTTCTGAAAGAAACAAGATAGAAAAGCAGAGCCCAAACACTGGGGACAGGCCATCACTTAGGGTATAAATTGCCCAAGTAAAGATGAGTTCCTCAAGGGCATGGAGGAGTCTTGTGCCTCAGTTTTACAGTTTCTGCCTCTGTGCTAAGTTCATGGAAGATAGTCACTAAAGATTTGCAGAGACACCCTAATTATAAAATTATAGCCCTCTTCTGCCTACTTCATAAGCTTTAGATTTGGCAAGTTCCTACTGTACAGGGGATTTATGTCCTTTCCATCTCTTACTGCTCCCCCATCTCCCACCCCATTGTTCTCTTCCCTTATTTCTTCTTTCTGATCCTTATGGCAGATATTCCCATATCTGTTCAAGGGTCCATTTACAAAAGATTTACCTTGTAGGGTTTGTTTTTTTTTTTTTTAGATTAAATATGTCGGTTAGGCAAAGTGGCATTTTCATAAGTAAAAATGACTTATTTCTCTTTTCCAGATAATCCAGAATTTAGGATTTATCATACTCAGTGAAGCTTTTGATGAGTAGCATTACAGTCATCTTTTTATTTTAGGATGTGGGATAATGTGTTTGTCAAACTAATGAAAACCACGCTGAAGTTCATGCTGTCTAGCTATATTATACTGTTTCATTAAAGTATAAGATGTGGTTGAAGTTTATACCATTGACTCTCTGATCTGATATGTTTTAGGCAAGGTAAAGAATCCTGAATGGAGCAGAAATGAAATTCCACATAGTTGTGGTGAGGTTTGTAGAAAGAAACAGCCTGGCCAGGACTGCCCACATTCCTGTAACCTGTAAGTTGGAACACTAGACCCCTGGAGATTCCTGGTAGACACACTTTGCTCATGGCTCTGAGTACATATATCTGGTGGTTAGCATGTAACAGGATGGGGTGAAGGGCAATATGATTTCAATTTACTGAACACTTACCCTGTGCCAGGCACTCTGCAAGAGTTAACTCATTGAATCCTTACAACAGCCCAGAGATGTATAGATCTTTATCATCTCCATTTTACTGATGAGGCTCCAAAAGGCCAAATATCTTGCCCAAAGTCATAGTGCTAGGACATGGTGGAGATGGGGTTTCCACGATACTATACTGCTAGCTTCTAAGAAGAAATATCCCCCAGTGATATCCAGGTCCAAAAGAGTGACTAGGACAGACTTCTGTCTGTGAAAAGGCAATTGTGTAGTGTCCTGTTGCACGTTTTTAGGATGCGAATCCCTCTGTCCAGTAAGTAGCCAGCTTTACAATGTATCTAGTCAACTTCTAAATAAGAGGAATACCCAATACTAACAGTTGATTAGTTACAAATAACAAATTTCTACAGCTTTGACTTCAGACAAATGTTTAATTCCTGGGGTCAAGTCACTTAACGGTTGTGTGACCTTGGGCAGGTTACTTCTCTAAGCCTCACTTTCTGCATCTGTAAAATAATAATGATACGAACATCAATATTTATCTCATAGAGTTCTATGAATATTAAATTAATGCATCTAAGAGGCTTGGTATAGAGTCTGGCATATGGTAAATGGTCAAGTAATGGTAACTTGTTTTTATTACCCAAATCCAAAAGTAAAACAGACTTCAAAGTGTTACCTTGGTGCTTGTGCTGCATGGAGCAGGGGCAAATGTTGGGCCAGAGGCCTTGTGGGTCAGGATGTGGGTTGCTGCTGGGGAATTGCCCATGGTAGGAGAGCTGCCCAGACAGGGATACAGAGCCTGGCCTGCTGCCTGCTGGGCATTCAGCCCCTAACCTTCTTTTACTGCTTCTATAGGTCCTTCCTCAGAACCCAGGGACTCATCTGTTTTTGTTTTTGTTTTTTTTAAAGATTTTATTTATTTATTTATTTGAGAGAGAGTGAGAGAGAGAGAGAGCACATAAGGGGGGGAGGGTCAGAGGGAGAAGCAGACTCCCCGCTGAGCAGGGAGCCCGATGCAGGACTCGATCCCGGGACTCCAGGATCATGACCTGAGCCGAAGGCAGTCGCTTAACCAACTGAGCCACCCAGGCGCCTGACTCATCTGTTTTTAAACTGTTCCTTCCCTCAGTAGGCATTTTAAGTAAATTTAATAATAAAGTAACCCTCTGCATGAACTATCTTTCTGAAGTCTTTAGCAGAAATGGCCCCCTGTCATGACTACCAGAGAACATCAAAAGTGATGCAGATTAGGTGGTCAGCATCATATCTGAAGGAAAGGAGGCCCTAAAACATCTCACTAAATGGGCTAAGACCATATTTGGAAACGTTATCTTTGACTGTCAGAACCAAAGAAAACCAGTATTTTGACTTGGGCTTTACTTTTCTGGTTAAGTATTCTAAGATGATAATGCCATAAATTCTATATGAAAACATTGTTGGTATTTTTGTTTAAACAGTTTAATCAACATTAGGCAAATACTAAAACATTTCATAGTAGGTTTATTTGTTGGCACATTCACAATAAAACCCAGTAGGAGCAACTTTGTTCAGGTTTGGATACATGAGTATCATTTATTCATCTAAGCCTTTCTCTTTTAGTCTCTGCCATCCTGGACCTTGCCCACCCTGCCCTGCCTTCATGACTAAAACATGTGAATGTGGACGGACCAGGTAAAGTTAGAACTGCTCTCTAAAGACTTCAGTGTCCACTTTGATGATTTATGTGTGAATTTCTAAAGTAAGAATTAGTGAGTAGATAGAAATAAGTGGTAGGCATAAGTAGTATTTTTTTTTTTTTAAGATTTTATTTATTCACTTGAGAGAGAAAGCACAAACGGGGAGAGGCAGCGGCGGGGGAGAAGCAGACTCTCCACTGAGCTGGGAGCCCGAATGGGGCTCGATCCCAGGACCTGTAGATCATGACCCGAGCTGAAGGCAGACGCCCAACCATCTGAGCCACCCAGGTGCCCCTAAATAGTACTTTTTTGTAAATAGTAGTTGACTCTGCTGCCCTGATCCTGTTTTGCAGTCTTATAAGTGATTAAGAAGTTATTTGCATGGTGAGATTATCCATTTCAGCTGAATGCCAAGATGACAGGGACTTTTTTCTTAACCTGTCTGTGGGTGAAAGAATCAGGATTAAACCCAGGCCTGTTAAGGTTCAGGAGACAGGGACCATTTACCTATACCTAGCATTATATCTGGCATCTACGAGGTTTTCAATGAATATTGTTTTTTTGTTGTTGTTTTTTTTTCAATGAATATTGTTAAATGAAAAAATAAGTGACCCCAGAGCCCATCCTCTTTTCATTATAATACAAGTTCTCCGTCATCAGGGCAAGGATCACTGTTAGTTATGAAATGTTTCTGAGGCTCAGTAAGACCCAAATGATTTTTGAACCACAGGACAAAATGAGATTGAGCCAGTTTTCAGTGAATCACATTTGTCTGAACTTACAAGGACAGTGGTGTGGCCTGAGAGTCACATGAAGGGCTCTGGGTCAGAAAGACCAGGTCAGATCTGGGCTCTGCCACTAATTAGTTGTTGACCTGGGCAAGTTGCTTGGTCACACTGAGCCTCATTTTTCTTATCATAAAATAGAAATAACAGTGTTCACCTCCAGGGGTTGCTGTTAGCCATGATGCTGAGTACTGGAAACTGATTGTGTATGTAACAGTGACTTTTTAAAACAAAATATGTAGTTGAGATTAAAGTAGGGGATAGAATAAAACTCTTCTTGCAGGAGAGTAGACTCCAAGCTCTAAACCATTACCGGAAAGAGACCTGAAGATAGTTGTCTAAAAGCACTAACTTCATATCCTTCTCTAGGCAATAAGTCAGCAAAATTAGGATGCTTATCGGAACAAAGCCAGAATGATTTTCCCATCCTGAATCAAAGTGACATACAGTATGTTCTTAAGTATTATAACTGCATAAAATGCCGGAGTACCAGATCCCATGAGAATGCCATTGTACTTCCATTCTTAGTATATACATTATAACTAACCTTCCCTGCCCCGGCCCCCAACCCCCAAACTTTCCTGCCTCCATCTGTAAGATACTGTGGGAGCTCCCAGCTCTCTCCCCTCCTGCATGCTACTTCATGGGAACTCAGTGAAGAAATCTACAGAGAGGAACTTCATTTCTTCACTGGTCAGAATATAGGGGAGAGAGAGCAGGATGGGAAATAAGGAAAGCAAAGCAGGGGAAAAAAGAAAAAGTGGAGAGGAGGAGAATAATTAAGGAAATAAAGATTGGAGGGGGTAAACAGAAAAGTGACGGAAATGGGGTCAAGAGAAAGGTTTCATAGTTCTGGGGGGTTAAGTTTGGGCTTCATTGTTAGTTTAGCTATCCAACAGGAACTTACTGTCCAGCATCAGACTAATGCTATGTATACATCTCTTTTCTTTCCAGGCACACAGTTCGCTGTGGTCAGGCCGTCTCAGTCCACTGTTCCAATCCATGTGAAAATCTTTTGAACTGTGGTCAGCACCACTGCGCTGAGCTGTGCCATGGGGGTCAATGCCAGCCTTGTCGGATCATATTGAACCAGGGTAAGTGGTGGGCGCACCAGTCAGCAATACCTGTGTATTTTCTGGAACCTTATCTATAGTTGTCTTGATGACATGGATTGGTCTTAAGCCTATAGTTACAAGGTGTCTAGTAGCTCTGTACCTTGGGTAGAGAGAAGTGGAGATACATTAATGCTTAGATGGTTTCAGTGTTTAGTTTTAGTGTTTAGTTTCCGTGTTTAGTTTCATAATACCAGTATAGGTCATTGTCCTACTATAGAATTTGGACAGTAGATTTTAAAATGCTGTTTAAAAGTATTTGGGAAATTTTTTTAAAAAGTAACTTCTTGAAAAGGATGTAGGAGGGGTGCCTGGGTAGCTCAGTTGGTTTAGTGTTCGACTCTTGAGCTCAGCTCAGGTCTTGATCTCAGGGTTGTGAGTTCAAGCCCCACGTCGGGCTCCACACTGGGCATGGAGCCTACTTTATTTTATTTATTTATTTTTTTAAAAGATTTTATTTATTTATTTGACAGAGGAGAGACACAGCAAGAGAGGGAACACAGCAGGGGGAGTGGGAGAGGGAGAAGCAGGCTTCCCGCGAAGCAGGGAGCCCGATGTGGCGCTCGATCCCAGGACCCCGGGATCATGACCTGAGCCAAAGGCAGACGCTTAACAACTGAGCCACCCAGGCGCCCTTTGGGGCCTACTTAAAAAAAAAAAAAAGGGATCTGAAAAGGCCAAAAAAATCTTGAGAAAGAATGAAGTTGAAAGACTTAAACTATCTAATTTCAAGACTTATAAAGTTACAATAATCATGACAGTGCAGTTATTGGTGTTAAAGGTAGACTAGTAGATAAATGGAAGATAATAAAGTCCAGAAATAGACCCACATATGTACACTTAGTGGATTTTCAACCACAATGTTAAGTTAATTCAGTGGGAAAAGGCGAGTCTTTTTACAAATGTTGCTAGAACAACTGGATGTATGTGTACAAAAAAATAAACCTCAACCTCTGTCTTACTCTTTACACAAAAATTCTCCGTGGATCACGGACTTAAACGTAAAACCCAGAAACATAAAGCTTCCAGAATAAACTATAAGAGAATATTTTCACAACTTTGGGGTTAGGTAAAGATTTCTTGGACAGAGCAACAAAAATACTAACCATAAAAAAAATTTTGATACATTGAACTTTAATCAAAATTAAAAATTTCTGTTCATCAAAAGATACCATTAAGAAAATGAATAGATCAATTGCAGATTGTATCCAGAATATTTGAAGTATTCCTACAAAACAGCAAAAAAAGAGGAACAACCTAAACAATGAGCAAAAGACTTGAACAGATGCTTTACAAAAGAAAACATAGGGGCGCCTGGGTGGCTCAGTCGGTTAAGTGTCTGCCTTTGGCTCAGGTCATGATCTTGGGGTCCTGAGCTCGAGCCCTGCGTTGGGCTCCCTTCTCAGCAGGGAGTCTGCTTCTCCCTCTCTCTCTACCCCTCCCCCAGCTCGTGCTCTCTGTCTCTCTTTAAATAAATAAAATCTTTAAAAAAACAAAAAAGAAAACATATAAATAGCCAATAGACATGTGAAAGGTGCTGTAAAGGAAATGTAATTAAATTAGAAGGAAATGTAAATTCAAACCGTAATAAGAGTAATATAGTATAACCACTTTAGAAAACAGTCTGGTAGTTTCTTAAAAGGTTAAATGTAGAATTTTACCATATGACCCAGCAATTCCACTCCTAGGCATATATCCAAAAGAGATGGAAATATATGTCTGCACAAAACTTGTAAGTGCATGTGCATAGCAGTACTATTCATCATAGTCAAAATGTGGAAACAATTCAAATGTCTTATCACCTGGGGTGCCTGGGTGGCTCAGTCGGTTAAGTGTCTGCCTTCGGCTCAGGTCATGATTCCACATTTGGTTCCCTGCTCAGCGGGGAGTCTGCTTCTCCCTCTCCTCCCTGCTCATGCTCTTTCTTGCTATCTCTGTCACTCTCTCTCAAATAAATAAATAAAATCTTTAAAACAAAACAAAAACAAGTGTCTGTCACCTGATGAAGGGATAAACAAATATAACCATACAGCAGATTATTCTTCAGCCATGAAAAGGAATGTAATATTGATACATGCTGTGAAGTGGATGAACCTCCAAAACATTATGCTAAGTGAAAGAAGCCAGCCACAAAGAAACACATACTGTGTGATTCTTCTGTTTTTACAATAGCCCCTGATCTGCAGGGATCTTGGGCTATCATGTATTGGTGCCCTGTAGAGTTTTGTTTCATTAGATTTTACCTTGGTGTGATGCTATGGATCTGTGTTCGCACTTAAAATATGTAACAACCCTATGAAATGTTTTATGTTGTGTACTGTGAGGATTTCATGTAAGGAACTGTGCTGTGTGTTGTTACTCAACTGTTCTCTTCGTGGGTCCTCTTGGGGGAAATTCCTGTCTGGCCTTATTTCCAAGAGAAGTTGTTTTTCCTCAGAGATGATTGATCTTTTTATCTTAGGAACCCTGGGTAACAGACCTAATGTTTGTCTTTATAGTGTACTTTTTTAAGCTATGATTTATTCTATATCTCTGCCATTGTTCTACTTTTCACATCTTTAAATTTATGTTCCTTTGTTATATTTCATATATCCTTACATGCTACCTCAAATCCATCTGAGATAAGGCAGGAGTTAAGTATACACTGGCAGTTTGGTCTTAGCAGTATAGACTGTGGTGTGGGAGGGTCCCTTTGCGGACCATATTTAGCTCTGATTCATATTGTGCTTTTTCTCACCTAACTCCCCCACGTCTTTTTTGTACAAATTTGTATGGATCCCAGTCTCTGCCTTTCTGTTTTTGTGTAGCTGATTTTTCAAACCCAGGTGGAAACTTTTTGTCTGTCTGCAGTAAATATCTAGGAGACTCTTATGGTCGTGAGTATAGCTTATTTATCCTCTTCATTTGTAATTCTTTTAGGATCCCTCTTTAGGATCTAGAGATTTAATAAGCATTCCTCCCAGGGGTTCATTCATGTGTTGACAAAAATGCTGAATAGGCTAAAGCTGGCAGCAGACCTTCCAGACTGCCTTTGGTTCCCTAATAATCTTCAGCCAGCAATGACCACCCAGCTCTTCTGTCACCAGCTCATATTGCTGTGTCTCTTGTGCCTACGCATATATAACAGGGTTATTTAATGTTGTACTCAGGTTATTTCCTGATTGATCAGGGGCTCCATTTTGTTTTTATTGTCATGATTTTCTGACCCTTGATTCTTTTTTTTTATTGAACTGAATTAACATAGAATGTTTTGTTAATTTCAGGTGTACAGCATATTGATTTGACAACGCTATCTCAGTGCTCACCACAATAAGTGTAGTCACTGTCACCATATATTGTTATTATAGTATTATTGACTCTATTCTCTATGCTGTCCTTTTCATCTCCATGACTTATAACTGGAAGTTTGTACCTTTTAATCCCCTTCGCCTGGTTCATCCATCCCCCTACCCACTTCCCCTGTGGCAACCACAAGTTTGTTCTCTGTATTTAAGAGTCTGTTTGGTGTTTTGCTTGCTTGTTGATTCATGTGTTTTGTTCTTTAGATTCCACATAAAAGTGAAATTATATGGTATTTGTCTTTCTTTGTCAGACATACTTCATTTAGCACAATACCCTCTAGGTCCATCCATGTAGTTGCAAATGGCAAAGTCTCATTCTTTTTTTTCTTTTTTTTTTTTTAAGATTTAATTTATTTGAGAGAGAAAAAATGAGAGAGAGAGAGAGAGAGCATGAGGGGGGGAGGGTCAGAGGGAGAAGCAGACTCCCTGCTGAGCAGGGAGCCCGACGCAGGACTCGATCCCAGGACTCCAGGATCATGACCTGAGCCGAAGGCTGTCACCCAACCTCTGAGCCACCCAGGCACCCCACAAAGTCTCATTCTTTTTATGGCTGAGTAATATTCCAGTGTGTGTGTGTGTGTGTGTGTGTGTACCCATACATACCACATCATCTTTTTTTTTTTTTTTTAAAGATTTTATTTATTCATGAGAGACAGAGAGAGAGAGAGGCAGAGGGAGAAGCAGGCTCCCAAGGAGCCGGGAGCCCGATGCGGGGCTCGATCCCAGGACCCTGGGACCATGACCTGAGCTGAAGGCAGACGCTTAACCATCTGAGCCACCCAGGAGCCCCATACCACATCTTCTTTATCCATTCATCTGTTTGGACTCTTGGGTTGTTTCCATATCTTGGCTATTGTAAATAATGCTGCAACAAGCATAGGGTGCATGTATCTTTTGAATTAGTGTTTTTATTTTCTTTGGGTAAATACCTAGTTTTGGAATTGCTGGATCATGGTATTTCTGTTTTTAATTTTTTAATTTTTTGAGGAACCTCCATACAGTTTTCCACAGTAGTTAGACCAATTTATATTTCCACCAGCAGTGTACAAGGGTTCCTTTTTCTCCACATTCTCACCAACACTTGTTAGTCCTTATTTTATTTTATTTTATTTATTTGCGAGAGAGAGAAAGCCAGAGAGAAAGCATGAGTGGGGAGGAGAGGGAGAAGCAGGGTCCCTGTGAGCAGGGAGCCCAACATGGGGCTCAGTCCCAGGATCATAACCTGAGCTGAAGGCAGATGCCCAACAGACTGAGCCACCCAGGCGCCCCATCCTTATCTTTTTGATACTAGGCATTCTGACTGGTGTGAGCTGATATTGTGGTTTTGATTTATGTTTCTTTGATGATTAGTGATGTTGAGCATCTGTCAGCAGTGTGTATGTCTTCTTTGGAAAAGTGTATATTTGGGTCCTCTGCCCATTTTTAACTGGATTATTTGTGTTTTTGGTGTTGAGTTACATAAAAAAAATTTTTTTTTAAGATTTTTTTATTGAGTTGATAGAGACACAGCGAGAGAGGGAACACAAGCAGGGGGGAGTGGGAGAGGGATAGGCAGGCTTCCCATATTTTGGTTATTAACTCCTCGTTAGACATCTCATTTTCAGATATCTTCTCCTATTCGTTAGGTTGCCTTTTTGTTTTATTGATGGTTTCCTTTGCTGTGTAAAAGCTTTTTATTTTGTTGTAGTCCCAATGGTTTATTTTTGCTTTTATTTCCCTTGCCTGAGGAGACCTGTCCACAAATACGTTGCTAAGGGCCGTGTCCAAGAGATTACTGCCTATGTTTACTTTTAGGAGTTTAGTGGTTTCAGGTCTCTCATTTATGTCTTTAATTCATTCTGAGGATATTTGTGTGTATGGTGTAAGAAAATGGTCTAGTTTCATGCTTTAGCATGTAGCTTTTAAATTTTTCTAGCACCATTTACTGAAAAGACTCTCTTCCCCATTGTATATTCTTGCCTCCTTTGTCATAGATTAATTGACCATATAGGTGTGGGTTTATTTCTGACCCTCGATTCTTTTGTTCACAGCTGTCTGCTCACATCTCCAAAAATAAAAAAAAAAGTACCTGTGTTCTGTCTGAGCAGAAACTTAGCAAAGAAAAGCCTCCTTGCAGGAATTCCCAGTTACTAGGGTTAATTTACCAATTCATTGATTCCATAAATATTGGTTGTATTTCCTACATCTGTATTCATCCAATAAATCTTTATTGAATAAATGAATCAGTTTTAGAACAGGGGATGAAACTGCAAAAGTACTTACTGGAAGATGGAATGTAGATTTTAAAAATCAAAAGTCTTGGTTAGGGCTTTTATTGATTTGAGGCTTTCCCCCTTCTCGTGTCTCATTGAAAGTTTTTGGTCTGTTCGTTTTATTTATAAACATTATCTCTAATGTTTGAAGTTAGAAATATTCTATTTTATTTTTTACTAAATACGTGATTTAAGATTTGATGTTTTTATAATGTTGCATTTATTTTGATGTTGATTTTCTGTGCAAGTAGATATCTAAGTTGTACTGAGAAAGAAGGAAAGCATCATTAGGTCTGCAAGATTTCAATTTAGTTTCTACTCTTTTGGTCTCTATTTATTATGTAGGGCCAAGTATATTTGCACAGATTGATTTTAACAGGATAAATTTTTATTATAAATTGAAAATGTGAAGTGACACTTTTTTTTTTAAGATTTTATTTATTTATTTGAGATAGAGAGAGAGTGAGAGCTCGTTGGGAGAGGGAGAAGCAGACTCCCCGCTGAGCAAGGAGCCCAATGCAGGGCTTAATCCCAGGATTCTGGGACCAGGACCTGAGCCAAAGCCACTCCGGCGCCCCATGAAGTAACACTTAGAAAAATTATATTAATTGATGAAAATTAATTCTTTTTTTTTTTAAAGATTTTATTTATTCATTTGACAGAGAGAGACACAGCGAGAGAGGGAACACAAGCAGGGGGAGTGGGAGAGGGAGAAGCAGGCTTCCCGCAGAGCAGGGAGCCCGATGCGGGGCTCGATCCCAGGATCCGGGGATCATGACCTGAGCCGAAGGCAGACGCTTAACGACTGAGCCACCCAGGAGCCCCAATGAAAATTAATTCTTATCAGACTTTGTTACATATTAATACATCAGAAACATAACTCCTTAAATATAACACATATTTATTGCTAACCTCAAGAAATAAAGGAACTCATTATTTCTTGAACCCACAGGAAGATCTGTAGATGTTGGACCAGGTTCTTTATCTAGCAAATAAAAGTCTTGAGTTGTTTGAACTTTCTACTCAATGTGAATACTCAAACATGATTACTTCAAATTCAGTAGTAGTAGTATACAAATTATTAAGGATTTTATATTGCGCTGATTTTTTTTATTCCTTTTTAGCAATAGAAAGTTTTTGTGAGCCTTTTATGTGAACCCCAGTATATAAAGTACTAAATCTGTGCTGCTTGGGTTGGAGTGAAGATGGCAGGGATTCAGTCATTGGCTCCTCCACGACTGTCACCAGCTTAGCTTCCATCTTCTGTAACCTCTCCAGAGACCCCAGGGAGCCTCAGGGTGAATGGTTCTCAGCCATGGCCTTAGGGGCCAGGTAGTAGTCTCTTAATTTAGGGGGTTGCTTCACTTTAATGCCATTTTGGGGACCAGCTGCAGAGGCACCATGGGATACCGACAGTCTTACAAGGCCTTTTTTACTTCCTCTGATAAAGCCTTTTAGGTGGGTCTTAGAGCTGCTATATAAGCCACATTTATTTCTGCATCAAGTCTGATCAACACTAATGAGTAGCATTTTGTGCTAGGTTCTTATAGACTGTTTGGAATATTTTAAGAACCCATACAGTTTACTCACCTTTGTTTTTGAAATTGTGTCCTCAAGTATGCTACTGTGGCAGCACTTCCCGAGATGTGTTATGTGGAACAGATGTAGGAAAGTCTGATGGATTTGGCGACTTTGGCTGTTTAAAGATATGTGGCAAGTAAGGTTTTATGTTTTTCTCAGTTAGAATAAAGCCATATTTTATGCAACAATTATGTAATAGTCTGTTGTTTTTCTTAACAGGGACTTGAAATGTGGGAATCATACCTGTTCTCAAGTGTGCCACCCTCAGCCCTGCCAGCCATGCCCACGGCTTCCCCACCTGGTGCGCTGTTGCCCTTGTGGCCAAACTCCTCTCAGCCAATTGCTAGAACTTGGAAGTAGTGGTCGGAAAACATGCATGGATCCTGTCCCTTCATGTGGAAAAGTGTGCGGCAAGCCTCTGCCATGTGGTTCCTTAGGTAACCAGTAGGCATAAAGTTGTCTTTAAACATACGAATGGAAATTTTTGGCAACAGTGACTATATAAGCAGAATAGTGTTCAATTTCAGTTATAATATCAGAAGCTTTTGAAAATACTAATGATCAGATTTGTGTTGGCACTTTTTCTTTCCTCCTCAAAATATACTTGTGAAAACTCAAATATGCCCAAGTGATCTCTCCTGCTTTAGGTATTTTATTGCCAACTTAGGACAGTTGTGAGATACTGTCCCATGCAGGGCTGGTGCCGGGGAGTGGGGGAGGTTACAATTTCTCTTAGTAGCCTGCAGTAGTATGAAAACCATATATCCTTCTACCAATCCAGGGTAAAGGCATTTTCATATAATGGGAACATGTTAAATAACTGTGGGTGAGATGTTTAAGAACTAAAATGCTAAGTATAATAAAACTTTAGCCATTTGGAGTACTCAGGAATTACTTTCTCTATAAGTTTCCCATCTAGTTGAGGGAAAAGACCTCCTGAGCATCATTTTGGAAGGACAGTTTTCTAAAATTTACATTTGCTTTCTTTAAACAGAGATTACTCAAGATAATTTCTTTTCTCTTTATTGATCCAGAGTCATCATTTTCCTGAACCTCAGTTATTGTATTATGCTGGGTACAGTGATGTCCTTAGGGCCTGCTAAGGTTTCTCAGGCAATTTCCCTACACCAATGTGCAGTTTGAATTGTTTTATCTACTTGTTAAAGGTTTTGATTGTTTATTTTCCTGTCATTGCTTTTAGTATGTCTGTGTGCCTACCATTAGTGACTCTCCCTTTTTCCTGACTTGTGGCTTCTGATTACTTGGATATAGAAACCAGAAAAAGTTTGTTAGAATTAGCTTTAAAGTAATAGTTTGAGTTCTGAAATATTCTGAGGCAGTCCTTGGGGAATATACCTATATAGTTTTGCAGTGACTTGGCACCTTCTCTCCTGGCTAAGTGTTCAAAGGCTATGTATTTAGAAAAATGGACATGGGCAACTGAGTCTATATAAGAGAGGTGTTCCTATAACTAATTGGCAAAGCTAAAATCTTTAGGTTTGGTTTCCATGTTTATCGAAAAGAGAGATTTCATATTTCTTCCAGGTACCAGCAGAAACCGGTAGGTACACTCTACCTAATTATTTTTTACAGTGTGACTTTAAAATTCTGTATAGAGGAGAAATGCTCTTTTCTCATGTTTTAATACATATTTTTAGTGCATTAGGAAAATCAATTGTCTGTTGGTTCTCTTTGCCTATTGTAAAAATGTATCTTCAGATAAGCTCTGTAAAAGTGGAGATCAAATGACTTCAAAATCAAGAAGGATGGTAAAGGTCTTCCCTTTTCAGAAAGCTCCTGGGTCAGTTTTGTAATAATTTCATATACGATGACCAGAAATCCCACTGTGGGGCTAAGATACGTTGGCAATGAGAGAAGGAGGAAATGTGAAATGGGTAGTGCATGGGGACTTGAGCAAGAGAAGGATAGTAATTGTCTTTATAAACAGACCCAGGGGGTGGGACAAGACCAGATGAAGGGGTTTGAGGGTAACCACTTGTTACCTCAACAAATTTTTAATCATGGAAAATTTGTAAGGAGTTAGGCTGAGTTGGATTGAGAAACTCAAAGACAAGCCCATGACTAGTGAGAACAATGGCTGTCAAGTTTATTCAGACCTGACTTATCTGTAGAAAGCTTGCTGAGGTTTTTTGGTAGCTCACTCAATAGGAATTTCCATCCTAGACAGATCACTTTAGTACAAGACACTAGGGAGAGTTCTGCTTTCAAGATGGGAACATGAGCTACGTGGACCCACTCCCCAGCAAAACAGGCAAAGTTAGGGAAAATTATTACAAAGCAATCATTTAAAGTTTCTGGAAATGTTCCTGTGGGCATACATCAAATGAAGAAGTATTTTTTATTAAAGAAAATCTAAAATTCAGTAAGAACAGCAAGTCTGTGTTGTCATTTAAGTCACAGTCCACTCCCTTCCACCCCGAGCTCAGCTTAACAAAAGCTATATTCAGGATAGGTGTGCCAGGAAGATGAGGCTGCCTCTACCCCTAAGCTCCCAGTCAAGGGTTACCATATCTCACTGGGAAGAGCAGACTGCCAGCATTTTTCATCCCCTCTAACTCCAAGTTGAAGAGGCTAAATTTCTGGTAAACACAGCTGAGAGGTTGGGGGCTCTCTTCCATACAGGCCCACCTATAAGTCAGAGTTTTTACCCCTTTCACAACAGGCTAGACTATTGCGGCCCCAGTCATCTTCTCCCCAGCTCACTTTTAGAGCAGATGTTCCACACTGGGAAAAACAAGCCAAGAAAACCAGAGGCTACTGTCCCACTCAGCACCAAGAGCAACTGAGACTTTTCCTGGCGGGGGAAGGTAGTCCATAAGAAAAGAGAGCTACAAAGTATTCCCCCAAAGGAACTGACTTTAATTTGTAGCACTGGAGAAGTTCAGACCTAAATAAAGGCCCTTTGGAAAATAATACCTCTTCTTAATTAAGGGCAATAAGCTAAACTGTAAGCCAGCTAGTTCAGCAGAAAGAACCAGGGAAAGAGATAGCTAAGAGGAGCCCTTCTGGGGTCAGAACAAACTTCACAGACTTTACTCAAAGACTACCCCTACCCACATTTCACTGGATCAGACTGCTGAGCAATTTATCCCCAGCAGAGAGAAAGTAGAATAAAGAAAAGTGAACGGCACCTCTAAACAAATGCGGGGCACTTTTAAGCACACAAACATATATGTAATGGGAATACCACAATAGTAGAAAGCAGAAAAATATTTGAATAGCTGAAAACCTTTCAAGTTTATTGAAAACCATTAATCTATGTATCCAAGAAGCTCAACTTACCCAATAGGATGAATTCAAAGAGTTCCACATCTAGACATAATTAAAAAGCTGAAAACCAAGGACAAAGAGAAAATCTTGAAAGCAGCAAGAGAAATTTGCCTCCTCACATACAAGGGAACCCCTATAATATTAACAGCAGACTTCTCATCAGAAACAATGGAGAACAGTACATCACAACAAGAAGACACTGGAATGAACTATTCAAAATGCTGGGGGGGAACAAACTGCCAACCAAGAAGCTTCTATCCAGCAGAGCTATCTTTCAGAAATGAAAATAAAAACAGAGAATTCATTGCTAGTAGATCTACTTCACAATAAATACTAAAGGAAGTTCTTCAGATAAAAGCAAGTAAACCCAGATATAAATTCAAATCCATATGAAAAATCAAAGAGTAATAGTATTTACATAATTTTAAATGACAGTGTAAATGTATATTTTTTTTGCAACTGACTTAAAAAACAGTTGTATAAGATAATATGTAATTATAGTATTAGGCTTATAACATGTGGAAATATATCTGACAATAAGAGCACAAAGGGGGTGGATGGGATCAAAGTTGTACTGGAGTAAGGAAGTGATATACCAAATGGTAACTCAGATCTGCAGGAACAAATGAAGAAAACCAGAAATGGTAAATAAGATGATAAACACAACAACAAACTTTGAATGTATGCTTGCTCTCCTATTCTCAGCTTTAATAAAAATTATATGAAGTAATTAATGTATTATGGGGTTTATAACATGTAGACATAATATGTGTAACAATAACAGCATAAAAGAGAAGAGAGAATAGAGCTACTACATAGGATTAAGGCTTCTGTATCTCGCTGGAATTAGGTTAGTATAAATCTGAAGTAGATTCTGATAAGATGTGTATGGTAAGCCCTAGAACAACCATTAAGAAAATACCCCCCTAAAAATAGTGAAAAATAACCATTAAAGGAAAAAAATGTTAAATTAGAAAATATTCACTTAATGCCAAAGAAAGCAGTAAAGAGGATTAGATTAACAAAAAAGACATGAGGGATACAGATAAATGGCAGATATGATCCAACTGTATCAATAATAATGTGAATGGATTAAACTATTAAAAAGCAGAGGCTATCCAATCAAATTTTTTTATAAAGCATACGATCCAACTATGCGGTATCTTTAGAAAATATACTTTAGAGTTAAAAATGAAATTAGGCTGAAAAAGAAGAATGGAAAAAAATACATTTAAACAGTAGCCATAAGAGACTGTGGCTGATCCCCGAGGGTCCTTGAAACAAGATTCGTCCTAAATCTGGTTTAGCAGAATGAATGACAGACCTCTTATCACCAGATAGTTGAAGAGCTGGAGTCTGAGGTTATGGATCATGGTTTCTGATTGTTTATGATCCCCAGATTTTCAGAGTCAAGAGTACTTTAGTAAAGTCATCCATGGCTGTAATTTTAAGGATATCCAAGTCTAACCTTGAGACTTGACGCCTGAAGAAAAAAGTCAGAAGATCTGATTTTTGACTTAGGCAAAGCATTATGCACTCCACAGGATATTCCAGTGACTAATTCTGGGCCCTTTCTTTGCCAGAAAAGGTCCAGCCTGCTAGAATAAGAGAGGATAGAGGAAGAGGCATTGACTACATCCTTCTTCCCTCAACTCTGATTCTGGAGTTGCAGGGCATAGAAATAGAAGACCAGGGTGGCTAGTGAACTTGGGAGTCTGAAAATGCATACTTGCAGTGTTCATTCCTAGCTCTTTTCATTTTTATTAAAGATTTCATTCATACCTGCGAAAAGCTCTGCCATGAAGGAGACTGTGGACCATGCTCTCGTACATCAGTTATTTCCTGCAGATGCTCTTTCAGAACAAAGGTAAATCGTAAACAATGTTAGAGTTGTTATCACCCGTACCTTTTAAATTAGTGATTATGGGATGGGAGGAATCAAAATAACATAATAGTGTTTTATTCCTCTCATAGTATGTATGATTCATTCAGTCCAGCCAGTGTATGCTGACAGCAACCAGAGGCCAGTTGTAGGGTAGGTATTGGGTGGGGGGAAGTATCACTCCAGGCTCAGAGACCAGTCATTGGGCTAAGGCAGGTATACAGATAGCTCTACCGAATACAGTGTGATAATGCTAGATGCTAGTATAGGACAAAAGCACTATTGCAAGGAGTTAGCTAACTAAGAAGTTGGAGAGAACACAGTCCACAAGATCACCTTCATTTCTGACACCCACTGCGAGAGTTTAGACAACTGCTGAATTAGAATAGTCCACAGGACCACCCTAACTTCTGATGCCAACTGCAAGTCCAGTGTCCCCAAGACCACCCTCAGGGTTTGATAATTCACTAAAAGGACTCAGCAGAGCTCACTGAAAGCTGTTGTAATCGTGGTTACAGCAGGGAAAGGATACAGATTAATATCACCCAAAGGAAGAAACACACAGGGCAGAGTGCAAGAAATACCAAATATGAAGCTTCTAATTGTCCTCTCCCTATGGAGTTGGAACAGTGTTACTTTCTCAACATCAGTTGGTGATAATATGCATGGGGTATTGCCAACCAGGAAGGGTTACCCGAGCCTGGGTATTCAGTTTTTACTGAGACTCTATTGTGTACACATGGTTGACCGCCCATGTAGCTGATCTCAATCTTCAGTGTCACCAGAGGTCTCCGGTTACCATGTGACCCAAAGCCCCACACTGAAGTACATCATTGGTCTTCGTGGTGTAGCCAGTCCCCACTTTAAGACTTTTCAGTATGGCCAGCCTGTACCCTAAATTATGTTACACTGTGTGAAGACCCAAGGCCTCAGGCAAACAGTGACACTCCTATCAAGCATGATATTCCAAAGGCTTAGAGATAACCTCCCAGAAGCCAATGGCAAAGGCCAGACCGCCCTTTCAGAAAGGTTAATTCTTAACTGTACAACTGTTTTGTCAATTTCTTCTTTCTGCCTGGGGCAGTTTTGATTGGACTTTTTGTTAGAAAAAGGACGTCTTGCCATTTTTACCATTCCTATGCTTGTAACCAAAGGCAGGAGCCTTGCTGTGGAAGTCTTTGGGTAATCCAACTTGGAGAACATACCAAGTATTGATCTGTCCTCTTTGACCCACTTTCAGTGCACATTCACTGCTACCAAGCCCAAGGTCTGGGTAGCTGATGACTTGCAAATGTTCTGAGGATATGGTCCATAAATTGGGTGCTAGCTTATTAGGTAAGCTTTAGAATAAAAATGTAAAAATATAGCAGTTTACATGTGGCAAAAGTTGTGTGTGTGTGCAGTTTTTTTCCTGAAAGAAACTGCAGAGTACATGGGGCAGTAGAGATATTTTGAATGTCAGCTACAGGACCTTGAAGACTGTGAAGTACTGTGATTTAGTGATCACAATTTTAGTAATGCCCAGAGGAGCTCTTTGTGACCAAGAAGCACAGGCAGGTTGGGATGCGTGAGCTAGAAATGGCTACTGTCAGTTTGCTTCTTTCTCCCCAGCAATCCCATTCTCTGTGCTTTTTTGCTTCTCATTCACTGTCCTTCCTCACTCCCTTGAATACTGGACCCCATGGCAGTGAGTGTACTCATGAAAAGCTGTGTGTAAATAGGATTTTTGCAAATAGGTTTTATTCTAAAATTGCTGGAGGCACTCCCTATTAGTATGAATTCTGTTGAAAACTTCGACAAAGTAAAAAATCTCTTTGAAACTGTTGATCATCACCTCATTGTTTAGCCAAATTTTTCATGAGATGTCTTTTGTAATGGAATGGGCTTTTCCATTGGAAGTAAGTTTTCTTTTTTCCTTTTTTTTTTTTTTTATTAAGATTTTACTTATTTGAGAGAGAGAGAGCAAGAGAAGGCATGAGTAGGGGAGGGGCAGGGAGAGGGTAAAGCAAGATCCCCACTGAGCAGGGAGCCTGACTCAGGGGCTCTATCCCAGGACCCCGGGATCATGACCTGAGCTGAAGACAGATGCTTAACCGACTGAGCCACCCAGGTGCCCCTGGAGTGAGTTTTCTAGATAAATAAATCCCTTGACAGGAAGTTATTTTTCTTTGCTTTGTATACCTTTAGCCAACCCTCTTTCTATTCAGATATTATAATTCCTAATCTACTTTAAATTAGGAGACCAGACCACAAAGATTGTTACAATGATATTTGCATGAAGTGTCAGTAAACCTGGGGCCCTGTTATGAATAAAGCATATTAATATAGAGGCTGAGCTAACCTAGTCCCAGACGGGTAAAGTTGGTAAATAGGTGGCTGCCAGAGAAGTACAGGATATTTAGGATATACATGTTACATTTAGCATTATACTATAGTTGAGTTGTTTCATTTATTCCTAAAGAAGTTACTGTTGTCTTTTTTTCCTTTTTCCATAGGAGCTTCCATGTACCAGTCTAAAAAGTGAAGGTATGACTGGGAACGGGCAAGAGGGAACATTCTGGGGTAAAAGTAATTGTTCTCTATCTTGATAGGGGTTTGGGTTATGTATTTGTCGTAATTCAGTTAAGGTTTGTGTATTTCATTGTATGTAACTTTTACCTGAAAAGAAAAGTAAAAATCATAAATTGAATTCTAGTTAATGAAATGCTAAAGTTAGGGTAAGTGTACCCATATCTGCAGTTTACTTTGAAATGCATCAAATATTAAGATAAATTGATTGGTAGATAGAATAGGTGGATATGTGAAAAAGTAATGGTAGAATTTCAGTAATGGTCATATGTAAAGTTGTTTCAACTTCTTTATATGTTTGAAAATTTTCATAATAAAATGGTGGTAGTGGGGGTGAAGGTGAATAATACCTAATGCAGCAAACTTTTTACACACTGACTCTGATGCTTGATCCCCATAAGGCTTGATATGACTGTTGCATACCTGGAACAGGTACTCAGCCAGCAGCCTTCTTAAACTTGAGGACTATGGTGTTCTTTCTTCCTTTGTCCTTGATCCTGACATTCCATGCTATTACGATTCTGTCCTTTGCTAACCATCTCATAGTCTTTTGTTTAACCTTAAAACCTTTTTGGAAAAGTGATAAAAGTTAAATAGAAGTTAAATGTGTACAAAATTAAAGCTCTTATTCTGGCCAGGAAGAAAACTGTATTGGGTTAGGATGCTTTTGTTTGCAGGTATCGAAAACCCAGGGAAAAGTAACATCAGCAATAAGGGAGTTTACTGTCTCACATAATAGGAAGTGTGGAGGCAGAACAAGTCCAGGCTTGGTTAATTCCAGCCTCACTGATTCCAGGACACCAGGTCAGCTTCTCTGATTTTTTTGATTTTTCCATCACGGGTGTAAGTTAGCTACAGCAAGTCCATACATCATACCCAACATCATCTAAAGGAAAGAGATTCTTAAGCTTCCCTTCCTTCATTCCCCCCACCCCCTCCCCCACCCCCGAGAGAGCAAGTGGGGTGGGGGAAGGGCAAAGGGAGAGAGAATCTGAAGCCAGTCCCCCACTGAGTGCAGAGCCCGACTTGGGGCTTGATCTCACAACCCTGAGATCATGGCTGGAGCCGAAATCAAGAGTCTGATGCTTAACTGACTGAGCCGCCCAGATGGTCCAAGCTTCCTTTCCTTCTTAAAGAGCAAGGAAAACAGTTCTGAGAGGTTCTCAATACACTTTGTATCACATGCTCCTGCCTAAACCGGACATTAACAAGGGGAATGAAATGAACAGGCTAGATAGACTATTATACTATATTCACACCTGGAACTGAGGAGCACATGGGCACCCAATTTCTGAACAAAATTAAGGCTCTGTTAGCCTTAAGAAGGTGGGGAGTGGCTGTTTGGGAGGTAACTGGAAATACCTGCCTTAAGCCCACAGTCAAAATTTTGGTTATTAAAAAACGTAATTTGAAAAAATTACGTTAATACACTTTTAAAGTAAAAAAATAACAGCAGTGTAAAGTAAAAAGTGAAATATACCCTAACCCGATTTTCCCCTCCTAGTTCCACTTCCCTGATGAAACTTATTAGTTTGTTGGGTCTGGGTCTTAGATCTTTTTCTGTATTCATATAGATGTATACACATGCCCATTAGTTTTGTTTTTTCTTCTAAACTTAGATTTATAGTAAACATGCTGTTTGCAACTTGGGTCTTTTTTTTTCCTCAGTAATATATCAAAGACATTTTTCCGTGTCAGTGTATATAGCCCTCCCTCTTACAGAGTATTCTGTATGTGGGTATGCCACAGTATAGTTCACCATTGCCCTTTGGGTGGTCATTCAGGTTGTCTCCAGTTTTTCCCCATTACGAATAATGCAGTAGCCATCTTGTCTGACATTTTAAAACTTTATGATGAAATATTTCAACCATAAGTGAGAGTAGAAAGATTAATATAATAAACCCCTAAGCACCTGTCACCCATCATCCATTATCAACATTTTGCCTGTCTTATTTCATCCATCCCTCCCTTCCCTACTTTTTATTTTCACTAGAGTACTTTGAAAACAAATCTCAAACATTATTTCACCCACCTAGCACCTAGCCCATTTTTAAAAATTGAGATAAAATTCACATAACCTAGAACGGGCCATTTTAAAGTATACAATTCAATGGCATGTAGTAAATTCACGGTGTTGTGCAGCCATCACTCTCTGTCTAGTTCCAAAACATTTTCATCACCCCAAGAGGAAACCCTGTATCCATCAAGTTTTCATTCCCCACTCACTCCTCCCTTAAACCCCTGGGAACCACTAATCTGCTTTCTGTCTCTATGGATTTACCTGTTCTGAGTTTTTCATATAAATGGAATCATATAGTATGTAACCTTTTATGCCTGGCTTCTTTCACTTAGCATGTTTTCAAGTTCATCCATGTTGTAGTACATATCAGTACTTCATTCCTCTTTATGACTGAATAATATTTCATTTTATGGATATATTGCAATTTATCCATTCATCTCTTAACAGACATTTGGGTTGTTTCAATCTTTTGGCTATTATGATTAGTGCTACTGTGAACATTTGTACACAAATTTTTGTTAAAATATGTGTTTAAAATTTTTTTGGATAGGGGCGTCTGGGTGGCTCAGTCGTTAAGCGTCTGCCTTCGGCTCAGGTCATGATCCCAGGGTTCTGGGATCGAGCCCCACGTCGGGCTCCCTGCTCCGGGGAGCCTGCTTCTCCCTCTTCCACTCCCCCTGCTTGTGTTCCCTCTCTTGCTGTGTCTCTCTCTGTCGGATAAATAAATAAAATCTTTAAAAAATAAAATAAAATTTTTTTGGATATATACCTAAAAGTGGAATTGCTGGATCATATGGTAATTCTGTGTGTAATTTTTTGAAGAATTGCCACAGCAGTTTTCTGTAGCAGCTACATCATTTTACATTCCCATCAACAATGTATGAGGGTTCCAGTTTTTCCACATTCTCTCCAACACTTATTTTTTGTTTGGTTTTGGTTTTGGTTTTTATGTGTTTTTTTATTATAGCTATCTAAATATATATGAAGTGGTATGTCATTATGGTTTTGATTTGCATTTCCTTAGTGACATTGAACATTTTTTAATGTACTTTGCCATTTGTAATCTTCTTTGGAAAAGAGTCTTTTTAAGTCCTTTGCCAATCTTTTAATTGGGTGGTTTCTCTTGTTGTTGAGTTGTAAGAGTTCTTTATGTATTTTGGGTCCTAGACCTTTATAGATAGATGATTTGCAAATATTTTCACCCATTATGTAGACTGTCTTTTCACTTTCTTTTTTTTTTTTTTTTTAAGATTTTATTTATTTATTTGAGAAAGAGAGAGAGAACACATGAGGGGGGGGAGGGTCAGAGGGAGAAGCCGACTCCCTGCTGAGCAGGGAGCCCAATGCGGGACTCGATCCCAGGACTCCAGGATCATGACCTGAGCCGAAGGCAGTCGCTCAACCAACTGAGCCACCCAGGCGCCCATCTTTTCACTTTCTTAATGGTGTTCTTGGTGCACAAAATCTTTTAATTTTGATCAAGCCCAATTTCTGTTTTTTCTTTTGTTGATTGTGCTTTTGGTGTCCTAGCCACTTTTTTTTTTTTAGCCACTTTTAAAACTATATATGTAGGAATGATTTCTTTTCTTTTCTTTTTTTTTTTTTTTTAAAGATTTTATTTATCTTTAAAAGAGAGAGGGAACACAAGCAAGGGGGACTGGGAAAGGGAGAAGCAGGCTTCCCACCGAGCAGGGAGCCCGATGCGGGGCTCGATCCCAGGACCCTGAGATCATGACCTGAGCCGAAGGCAATTGCTTAACCAACTGAGCCACCCAGGCACCCCAGGAATGATTTCTTAAGATAGAATTACCACTGAAATTTTTGATAGATACATATGTACATCAAAAATTTATACTCCTATCCACTGAGTGTGCCTTGTTCTCTCTACACCTTCACCCATACCAAATATTAATCAGTCTCCCATTGTCTTTTTTTGACAATCTGACAAATGAAAAATATCTTTTTATATTTATTTTCACCATAACTAACTTAATTATCTTATTACATTTGTATTCAGCTTGTAGTCACTCAAATATTTGTTGAATGAATGTTCATACCCTTTGCCCTTTTTTTTTTCTTTTTAATTGGCCACAGCAGATGCTACATTTATGTGTGATAAGCGGTGTAACAAGAAACGGTTGTGTGGACGGCATAAATGTAATGAGATATGCTGTGTGGTAAGTGGACCTATCATTAGGTACAGTCAGATATCTAGAAGCCTCAGCCATCTGGAATGTAGCCCAGATTTAGAAATCACTGGGAGGGACCCCTGACCAGCAGTGAGAGAGCTGCCCAGAGAGACAGGCCTTTTTAGGCCCTAGCCAGGTCAGCCTGTGGCAATATGGAGGAAGAGAAAGAAGAAAGAAGGCCTCAGGCTCCAGAGCCCAAGATCACCAGATGAGCAGATAGTCCTCTGCAGGAGATTATGTGCTGTCCTAACACACAGACTGGGCTGGTCTTAGGACTTCAGGGTTTGGGTTTCACATACAATGTGGATCAGGTCAGTAGGCAAAATGAGTAGGGCATTTTTGAAAGGAGCTATTTTCAGTTATCTGAAATAATTCACTTACATGGAACTAAATAAAGGAAGCACTCCCTGGCAGCACGGTATTACCATGTTGTGCGTGTGTGTCTTGTGTATAAACAAGGTAACACAGTGCCAATACCAAAGTAGTGCATGTATACACACCTATATACGTATATTATACATAATTGTTATTTCTAAAGTTTACATATTGATAAGATAAAGAGTGATAAAATTGGACAACGTACCAAGACTTATAAATCAGTATTCGAAAGCTTAAAGACTTCCTCTTACTATTGAAAATTTCAAACATATACAAAAGCAGAGAGATTAGTATGAGTCTTAAATACCCAACACCCAACTTCAGTAGTGATCAGTTCATGACTAATCTTATTTCATCCACATCCACACCTACTCCCTCTAATTATTTTGAAGCTAATCCCAGACATCATTTCATCCATAAATGTGGAGAGCTTCTCTTTTATTACTCTTCTTGTTGTTTGTGGAAAATATAAATGGAGATAATTTTACAAACAAATATGAATCTCTTTGTAGGATAAGGAGCACAAGTGTCCTTTGATTTGTGGGAGGAAACTCCGTTGTGGCCTTCATAGATGTGAAGAACCTTGTCACCGTGGGAACTGCCAGTCCTGCTGGCAAGCCAGTGAGTGTCTTCACTGTATGCTTTAAGTTTTCTAGAAATTCAGGCATAATATATTTTGAGGGATTGATTTACTTAATTTGGTATGGGTTACTGAACTAAGCCTAAATATTTCAGATATGTTGAGATGTTAAAAAAAAGTTATTCTGGTGCTGTGTTGTCTTCCCAGAATGTATAAAACCTGGGATGTAAGCAAGAATGCTAAGATGAGATCTGGCTCATTACTGGATTACTCTTAAATATCATTAACAGATTCTGTCCTCAATGGTCTTCTTTCTCTATATTAGCAGCTGTTTAGAAACTTGGTTTTAGGACGCATTTACATTCTTAAAAATTATCAAGGACCCTCAGAGCTCTTTTTATGTGATTTATATCTGTTTACCCTAGTAGAAATTAAAACATTTTTTTAAAGATTTTATTTATTTATTCAGCAGAGAGAGAGAGACAGCGAGAGAGGGAACACAAGCAGGGGGAGTGGGAGAGGGAGAAGCAGGCTTCCCGCCAAGCAGGGAGCCCGATGCGGGGCTCGATCCCAGGACCCTGGGATCATGACCTGAGCCGAAGGCAGACGCTTAATGACTGAGCCACCCAGGTGCCCCCAATTTTTTTAAAGATTTTATTTATTTATACTGCTTCTACCTCTCCTTCTGCCCCTCCCCCACTCATGCTGTCTCTCTCTTTCTCTCAAATAAATAAAATCTTTTAAGAAGGTAATATACTCATTGCATATTAATATAAATGACTTCTTTTTAAGGATTTTGTTTATTTGAGGGGCGCCTGGGTGGCTCAGTCGTTAAGCGTCTGCCTTCGGCTCAGGTCATGATCCCAGGGTCCTATGATCAAGCCCCTTACCGGGCTCCCTGCTCAGCCCTTTTTTTTTTTTTAAGATTTTATTTAGGGCGCCTGGGTGGCTCAGTTGGTTAAGCGACTGCCTTCGGCTCAGGTCATGATCCTGGAGTCCCGGGATCGAGTCCCGCATCAGGCTCCCTGCTCAGCGGGGAGCCTGCTTCTCCCTCTGACCCTCCCCCCTCTCATGTGCTCTCTCATTCTCTCTCTCTCAAATAAATAAATAAAATCTTAAAAAAAAAAAAAAGAAGAAGATTTTATTTATTTATTTGACAGAGAGAGACACAGCGAGAGAGGGAACACAAGCAGGGGGAGTGGGAGAGGGAGAAGCAGGCTTCCCGCTGCACAGGGAGCCTGATGTGGGGCTCGATCCCAGGACCCTGGGATCATGACCTGAGTCGAAGGCAGACGCTTAATGACTGCGCCACCCAGGCGCCCCAAATAAATAAATAAAATCTTTAAAAAAAAAGGATTTTATTTATTTGAGAGAGAGAGAGCATGAGTCGTGGGGGAGGGGCAGAGGGAGACACAGACTCCCCACTAAGTAGGGAGCCCAATGTGGGGCTCAGTCCCAGGACCCTGGGATCATGAGCTGAAGGCAGATGCTTAACCAACTGAGACACGCAGGTGTCCTTAAATGACATATTTTTAAAACTATTTTTTTAACTAGAAGAGTAGATGGGTTCTCATATCTGCTTCTACATTAATCTGTTGCAGTATAGAGTTGAAGGAAATGAAAAAAATCTGGCCTTACGTAGATATATAGTTGAAAAAGAGAGTATAATCGTGGATATTATTTTTTTGAAATTATACCAAAACTCAACCTCATTTCAGAAGGGACTTGAGTCCGGGGTTTTATTTTTGTTCTCTGTCACATTAAAATTCATTGGTTTTTCTTATATTTTGAATGGATCTTTTACCCATGCATGATTTTATAGCATCGCACATTGATCATTTGGAAATGAATTATTCACTGTGCTATGCAGATTTTTGAAATGGTGAAAAATTTTATGTTATAATATTAAAAATTTACACTCATTAATATAACTACCAATCTCATCAGAAAAGTCTTGGGAAAAGTATTAGGAAGTTGTCAAGCTCATAGTGGTAAATACATATTTTCCAAAATTCTGTTTTCACTTGAAGGCTTGAAAGTTGGTTTTCCTGAATTGATAGGCTCACTTTGGTAATTTTTGATAAAATGTATGCCAGATACCCAAGTCTAAATAACCATAGCTTGTCAGTCATTCTTTCAAGTAAAAATGGTATTCTAACTCACAACTCCAACAAGTGCAGTTCTTTAAAACAACCTATATTTTAGTGTGCAGCGAAAGTGCTTTATGCAGATTTCCCACTTTGTTTCACAGATTATGAATTTGTATTTAAGAAGACATGTATTTAAGAACTAAATTGTCTTTTTACTGCTTCATCAAGGACTTTCTTAAGTGAAACTAGCATTTTTTATTTATTCTAAGTGCTTGGCAGTGAGAAATACCATGATTACATTTTGGTACTACTGCCTTGATCTGTGCTAAAGCCCTGGTAGTTTTACTAACCGTTGCTTTTGTACCATCAGTGTAAATGTCAACATGGTGAAAACAAAAATAATATCTTAGTTTTATGAAAATAATTTTGGCCCTATGGACTCCCTGAAAGGATCTCAGGGACCCTTAGGCATCAACAGAGCACACTTTGAGAACTGCTGCATTAAAAGATTGGCTTAGATCAAGATTTCCCAAAATGTCTTTTGCTAGAATGCTAGGCCTACTTCATTTCAAAAAAAGAGTTGAGTCCGTGCTTTGATATAAATCACACATATGGGGGCACCTGGGTGGCTCAGTCGGTTAAGGGTCTGCCTTCGGCTCAGGTCATGATCTCAGGGTCCTGGGATCGAGCCCCGTTTTGAACACCCTGCTCAGTGGAGAATCTGCTTGCTTCTCCCTCTGCTCCTCCCCCCTGCTCATTCTCTCTCTTTCTCTCTCTCAAATAAATAATCTTTTAAAAATAAATAAATCACATACATGGATTCCATGAAAACAACTTATATAGCCCCTTTCCCTTTATCTAGCTATTTCTCATAATAAGCTTTTTGAATGGATAGACCAAAGTTTGGTATCACCACCTCACCAATAGAAAGCTGAGAAGGATTAAGTTGCCAGCCCATAATTACTTAGTGAGTAAGTAGTAGGTCCAGGACTCGAAGCCTAAGTCTCCTGACTGTATTTATAGGGCTCTTTCTGCCACATTGTGTAGCCTCTGAAGGGTTTGGTGGAAAGAGTACTGACTGGAGAAGAGCAGTGGGTGGAAGACTCTTGAGAGCCCTGGGCTTCCTAATTCTTAGTGACTTGGTTGAGATCAACAGCCAAAGGCCTGGCCTCTACCAAGACTCAGAATTGGAGAACTGTTTCCCCTTGGGATTTAGGAGTTAGGAGAGCTCTTGAGGTGGGCTGCTTGTTGGAGCTGTCCAGTGTGAGTCATCATTTTGATTTAGCTTGGGAACTGTGCGTAATGAACTTGGATGCAGCTCTGTGCTTCGTTTCAACTTCATATTTCTAGTGTGATAGGTGTTGATTATACCTGTAAGAATTTCGGGGTGGGGGGCGCCTGGGTGGCTCAGTTGGTTAAGCCTCTGCCTTCAGCTCAGGTCATGATCTTGTGGTCCTGGGATCAAACCCCACATCAGCCTCCCTGCTTAGCAGGGAGCCTGCTTCTTCCTCTCCCTCTGCTCCTCCCCACTGCTCGTGCACATGCACTCTCTCTCTCTCTCAAATAAATAAAATCTTTAAAAAGAAGAATTTTTTTGAATGGCTTCAGTGGCTCTCTGAAGTTTATATTCAAATGTATACTTTAGTATGTTTGTTAATTATCTGTGGTTTTCATAATCTCTATCCTTTTCCCTAACCAAAGGAGTTTGGGAAAAAAAGCTATATCTTTAGTAGAAGTCTCCTCTTCTCAAAAGAGATGGTCTGTAGATCTGTTGTCTATAAAATACATGTAAAAGTGTCCTGGGTTGCTCATGGACTTAGAGTTTGTTGCAAATAACATACCTGTCTGCTCCTTTGCCACCAGCTCAACTTTAATAAAATAAAAACCTTTTGTGAAAAAAGCAGTCCCCTAAAAGAAAAAAAAACGCAAGCCAAAAAAAGTGTGTGTGGTCTGTGTCTGTGTAAATATGTGTGTGCACATTCCAAACTCAGAAAGATTGTTTTATTTCACCTGCCTCTCCATCAGGTTTTGATGAACTAACCTGCCACTGTGGTGCGTCAGTGATCTACCCGCCAGTTCCCTGTGGTACAAGACCCCCTGAGTGTACCCAGACCTGTGCCAGAGTCCATGAATGTGACCATCCAGGTGGGTCCCACCTCCTTACTCCGCACCTCACAGCTTGCTTACACTGTGTCATTTTGGATGTTGCATGACAGTCTTCAGTGCTCTGAGGTCGTGTTGTGATGGCCACCCCTTGTTCCCTGTTCTCGGGCTACTTCTGTGAAGGTGGGTCTGTGATCTGGGCCACAGCTGGGAATCACAGTGCCCTCCATCTCTGTACTCTGTGGATGTCACACACACCCAAAAGGCTGGGAGAACCTCCAGCTGGTCTTACCTTTCAGGGACTTTTCTTCTTTTCTTGTTGCCTCCAATTTGGATGTATATTTCAAGGTTGAGCATCTCTGCAAAATTGAAAGTCACTTGTTTTTTGTGGTTGCTGTTGTTATGGAAGTAATGTATGTTTATTGTATAAAAAGAAAGAGAGTGAGATAAAATCAGTAAAGTCAAAAGATTGGATTTAAATCATCTATTATGCCAGCTTGTAGGAATTACACATTAGTATGTATTTTTCAGGGTTTTTTTTCTATGGGCAAAAATATATATATTTGCGTTTTTTTCCTTCGCGTAAAATAAAAGTGGGATCCTACTGATTTTATTTTAATTATTTTCTTCTCTTATTATTGTATTTTGAATCTCTCTTCTTATCAATGAATATTTTTCTACAATATAGATTTTTTTAAAGATTTATTTGAGGGCGCCTGGGTGGCTTAGTTGGTTAAGCGACTGCCTTCGGCTCAGGTCATGATCCTGGAGTCCCTGGATCGAGTCCCGCATCGGGCTCCTTGCTCGGCAGGGAGTCTGCTTCTCCCTCTCCCACTCCCCATTTGTGTTCCCTCTCTCTGTGTGTCTTTCTCTGTCAAATAAATAAAATCTTTAAAAAAAAAAAAAGATTTATTTGAGAGAGAGCGCACAAGTAGGAAGGGCAGAGGGAGAGGGAGAGAGAATCTCAAGCACACTCCCTGCTGAGTGCAGAGCCCAATGTGGAGTTCAGTCTCACAACCCTGAGATCACGACCTGAGCCGAAACCAAGAGTTGATGCTCAACCAAATGTGCCCAGGTGCCCCTCTCCAGTATAGATTTTTAATAATTAATGGAGTGTGCTTTACATGGATGGGCCATAACTTAGTCTCATGTTGCTGGACAATTAAGTTGTTTCCAATTCTTCTCTTATAAACTGCTGTAGACACCAGACCAGTAGCTACTTAACATCACCCATTTTCTGTTACTGGCTTTCCTCTGGGACCATATTGGGCTCATCATTTCATTTTACCAAGTCCCAGAGGCAAACCTGAAATAACTCAAGTCACCAGATTTGGCACTTACACTTAATCTGGCCATATGAATCAGACTGACAAATAGACAACCAGTTCTCAAATTTTTAAGTTAATAGAGTAAAACAGAATTAAGTAAATTCCTAATGAAGTAAAAGGTCTCTCCTTTTCTGGGGACCTTAGGATGGCCCTTCCCACTTAGTCTGCAAGCCCCTACTTCAGTGTTCACACCAGCATGAAGTAAATGCCCAAGCCAATACTCATCCACTTCCTCCTTTACACTCACTTGCAGATGATACAGATGAAGTCCACATCCTTGTGGTTAATGTCCATAGTGAGAACTTAACCATTTATGAGGTGTTTTAGCCTGCTTTTGTTAAGCATTCATTTAACTTCTTTGAGTGTTAGTTGTATATCCAGCATGGTATCAGACACACAGGTTCAGAGGAAGAAAAAAGTAGCCCATGATCTAGAGGTTCTTATGTTCTTCCCAAGAGGAAGAGGGTAGTTATGTGCACATGACACAGCCATTACATGAAAATGGGCCAGATAACATGGTAGCAAACCATCTGCAAAAGACCTCAGACATGAGGGAGTGTAAGAGAGCTCAAGGTCAGGTATGGTCAGCCAAGGAAGGCTTTGTTGTAGATGAGTTTGGATAAACTGTCTCTTACAGACAGCAAGGAAATTGAAAGGTATCACGGGAGCATGTCAGATGGAATGAGTAGCAAAGATAGCTAAGAAAAGTGAGCAGTTGCCATGTAAGGTAGGGCCAAAAGAATGATTGAGTAGAATGGACAGACCAGGGGCTGTGCCGTAGGAAATGAGTGGAAAAACTGCCTCCCTCTCTGCTTCTCTGTGCATGTGTCTGTCCTGCCTCAGTGGGGTTTCTTTTTCTCACTCATGCTCATCCTTCAACACTTTAATAGAAAGCCACCTACTTTTTGCTTTCCTATTTTCCATTTTAAAAAGTACTCCCAGGGTCGCCTGGGTGGTTCAGTCGATTAAGCGTTTGCCTTCGTCTCAGGTCATGATCCCAGGGTCCTGGGATCGAGCCCCACTTGAGGCTCCCTGCTAGCAGTGAGCCTGCTTCTTCTGCCCCTCCCCCTCTGCTCTTGTGCTGTCTCTGTCCCTCAAATAAATAAATAAAATCTTTAAAAAAATAAAAAGAACTCCCAGCTTCTAAACTTAAAAGTTTCATGTTATATACCATTATAACATGTGTAATAGTTTATGTGGCTTTATTATTTTTTTAAAGATTTATTTATTTATTTGAGAGAGAGAGAGAGAGAGCACGAGCAGCGGGGAGGAGCAGACTCCTCACTGAGCAGGGAGCCTGACGTGGGGCTTGATCTCACGACTCTGAGATCATGACCTGAGCCGAAGTCAGATGCTTAACCGACTGGTGCCCCAGTTTATGTGGCTTTATTTAAACATTATTCCTAAACATAATTCCTAATTTCCTTTCTCTTTTAACAGTGTATCATTCTTGTCATAGTGAAGAGAAGTGTCCCCCCTGTACCTTCCTAACTCAGAAATGGTGCATGGGAAAACACGAGGTAAGTTTTCTCTCTCAAGTGTTTATTGTTCCAGCTAGAGATTTATGATTAAATTACTTTTAGAATTGTTAGTCTCTTTGTTTCTGAAAGTAAAAATATACTCCAAGAAGCGGAGGTTTGCTATTGCCACTTTTTTCTTTCTTTTTTTTTTTTTAATTAAGATATAATTTGCATAAAATAAAATTTACCCATCACCATGCTGTGGCTAAATACTGATAGAAGAATCCAGGGCACCTGGGTGGCTCAGTCGGTTGAGCTTCCGACTCTTGATTTCAGTTCAGGTCATGATCCTCAGGGTCATGAGAATCCTGCGCTCAGCAGGAAGTCTCCCTCTCTGTCTCTCTCCCTCTCCCTCCCCCACTACCCCTCCCCTCGCTCGTGTGCTCTCTCTCTCTCTAAAATAAATCTAAAAGGGTGCCTGGGTGGCTCAGTTGGTTAAGCGACTGCCTTCGGCTCAGGTCGTGATCCTGGAGTCCTGGGATCGAGTCCCGCATCGGGCTCCCTGCTCAGCGGGGAGTCTGCTTCTCCCTCTGACCCTCCTCCCTCTCATGCTCTATCTCATTCTCTCTCTCAAATAAATAAATAAAATCTTTTAAAAAATAAATAAATAAAAATAAAATAAAATAAATCTAAAAAAAATAAAATAAGATTTACCCCTTTAAGTGTACAGGTCCTTGAATTTTGACAAAAACATTCATACAGTCATGTAATCACCACCACAGTCAAGATGCAGAATAGTTCATTCACCCCCAAATATTCCTTCATGTCTGTATAATTTTCACCCCCTATCTCCTGGCCCTGGCAACCAGTGATCTATTGTCTATCCCAGTAGTTTTGCCTTTTCCGGAATGTCACATAAATGAAATCATACAATGGGTAGTATTTTGAGCCTCTTTTGCTATCATTTTTACTCTGGTTGCAATCAAGTGAAAGTCAGTTGGCTTGAGAACATGAGCTGTGTTCAGAGACAACTTTTAGGTTAACCAGCATGGGAGAGGTTGCTAGCCTGGGTAAAGGTGTTACAGTGAAAGCATCCCAAGAGTGGAGGTGGTCTCTCCACCAGCTGCCACTGTTCCTTCCTCTATGCCCCGTGCAGCTTCCTGTCCTGGCCACTGGATCAAAACACCTTCCTCCAGGCTCATCTACGCCTCCGCAGTGCCACTACTATGAAGGACTTTCATCCTCATTCTCAACTTGTAAGCTTATTTGGCACCATTGACTATAGACCCTTGGAAGCACTTTCAAAAAATTCTTAATTTAAAAAATGCATATTCATTGTAGACAATTAAGAATATACAATTCTGCAATCCAGAAAGAAATAGTCTTAACATTCTTGTGCATAGATTATCAGGCATGTGTGATACATACTTTCTCATACTCTATTAAGATCGTACTATTTTTATGGGACACCTGGATGGCTCACTCGATTGAGTATCCAGCTCTTGATCTCAGCTCAGGTCTTGATCTCAGGGATGTGAGTTCAAGCCCTGTACCCACCGTGGAGCCTACTTAAAAAAAAAAAAAAAAAAAGTTGATACTATTTTGTAACTTCCTTCTTACTTCATAACATGTTAGCCAGCATTTTTGGAAACTCTTGACATCTATGACAACATGCTTTCAGTATCTTTATCTTGATCGACATATTTTCTCCCCTTATTTCCTGTGAGTGGTTCTCAAGTCATAGTCCTTATAAATCTCACTTCCTCTGAGAGTAACCATTCTAAGACATCCAGGTATTATCTTTGTGTTGATGGCTTATTTGGACTTCATGCGACAAATACTGATTGCATACCTACTATGTGCTAGGTATAACAGGCCTGGTTCGAGTGATTCAGAAGAGAATAAGACAGGTGTGACTGCTCCCCTCGTGGAGCCTTCACTCTGAGGCGGGAGACAGGCATGTAAACAGTCAATTACAAGTGCAGTGGCAGGGGAAGTCCAAAGTACTGAGCGGGATCGAAGGAGCCCACACCCAGGGAAGGTGTTTGTAGAGGAAGTGACCTCCTAAAGGATAATGAAAAGGTAGACAAGTAATGAGGGGAGGGGACAACAGAGGATATAGCGTGTGCAAAAATTATCTCTGGACTCTGGCAGTAGTGTAAATTTTTAGTGATTGGGAACTACATTCTACCAAAATACTTCTAAAGTGATTCTAAAGCAATTAGAAGCATGTACGTCTTAGACTTTGGAAGCCTCTTCAAGAGTAAAAGTTATATGTGTCACTAGAATCAAAGTATATTCCTCATTTTGAGGGTTCTTGGAAGAATTTGAGTGAATACATAAGAGTAACCTTTCGTCCCACAGAAGTAAAATTCCAGCATCTTTTTCCTGGAGTAAGGAATCTTGGAAGAAGGTGATTTAAAAAATGAGTTTGGGGTTTCATGGCCTGTTGCCCCTTAATATTTTAAATGACAAAGCTGCTTAAAGCTATGAAGACCATGAGTCAGGAGATGTGAGGAGAGTTGATTATTTATGTAAAACGGCCCTGCCAGCAGTCTTGAAACCATGGGTCAAGGGTGTCCCCAACCCTCAGGGTTCATGTGTCAAGTCAGTGCCCTAGCTGTTTGCAGAACGGAGGGGGGAAGATCATCTGATCCTCTCAGTTGGTCATAGCATTTTCAAATACTCCCTAGTTATCTGGTTTTATGTACTTGTTACCCACCCTGGGAAGTGTGGGTCTTAAGTCACACTTGGTTGCTAGCACAAATTCTTTTGGATCATAACAAGTATTATTAAATAAGGTTCAGATTTGTTTATTTTCAAGTTAACCTTTCAGATTTTAAAGATCAGCCTAATTTTTTTCAGATAAGAGTAACTTTTTGAAAATTCAGAAATGTTTAAATATGAAATTAAAACTCATCCCAAATCCCACACGGAGATAAGAATCTAGCTACTTCTGTCTCTCCTAGTTACGGAGCAACATCCCCTGTCACCTGGCTGATATCTCTTGCGGATTACCCTGCAGTGCCGCGCTACCGTGTGGGATGCACAAGTGTCAGAGACTCTGTCACAAAGGAGAGTGTCTTGTGGATGAGGCCTGCAAGCAGCCCTGCACCACCCCCAGAGCTGACTGTGGCCACCCGTGTATGGCCCCCTGCCACCCCAGCTCACCCTGCCCCATGACTGCTTGTAAAGCCAAGGTGCGTATTCCTGACTCCAGATAGGGCATTGACTGTGGTTTTGGGGCTACTCAGGAGTCCGGAACTGCTTGTAGAAGTGCCTGGGCACACATTCTAATCAGAAGTCATTGGTTGCAAGGAAGTGCAAGTTAAATTAGCAAGAGAAAGGTGTGGAGTATTACACAGATTTCTGTCTGCCCAGTTTGAAATGGCCTTTTAGTTCAGGAGGTGCCCACTGCCACCTGACAACAGTCTCTGTCTCTCTCCCTTAGAGCAGATTCTCAAGAGAGACTCCGATTGCCTGCTCCATTTATTCAACAAATATATAAGTGTTTTGTGCAGGATGTTTTGCTAGGTGCTGGGGCTATACCAGTGAGCAGGAGACACAAAGTCCCTTCAATTAGATGGGACAGATAATACTCAGATAATGAATTATGACTGTGGTGAACAAGAAGTTACGCCCTTTTAGAGGGTGCTGTGAGGGCATGTGAGTGGGCAACTTAGCCTGGTCCAAGGGATCTAAGCAAGGCCTCCCTGAGGAGATGAAAGCAGACTGATGAGGTGGACTTGATTAGGCTTTGGGTGGTCTTGGCCAGGTTCAGTGGTAAAAACTTCATTCTAGGCCTGCCCCTTCAGGTAGGGTTAAGGACAGGAGTAGTTCCCAGAAAGAGTCACTGTAGAGTGAACAGTTCTCCTAGTGTGTCCAGTACCACATTGTCAGTTTGTGTGCATGGTTAGCTTCATCCATCCTGAAGGGTAGCCACTCACTGGCTGTATTCTCTGCCATGGTTGGATTTGAGAGAGGCTTTAAAAGTGAAACCTGCCTATTCACATGGTTTCCATGTGCTGCTAAAAGTCCCTCCATGTTAATCTTATTTCAGATAGAGCTGCAGTGTGAATGTGGACGAAGAAAAGAGATGATGATTTGCTCCGAAGCATCCAGTACTTATCAAAGGTTAGCGCTACTTAAATGTTAACAGTGGTGGATCTCAGTCTACGGAAGGTGCACATGTGTATATGTGTGTTTATTGTCAAATCCTTGCAACTTTTGTCAAGTTTGGAAAGTTTTTTCTTTTTTTTAGAAAAAGCTTGTGCAGGGGCACCTGGGTAGCTCAGTCGGTTAAGCGTTTGGTTTCAGCTCCGGTCATGATTTTGTGGTCACGGGATAGAGCCCTGAGTCAGGCTGTGCACTCAGTCTGCTTCAGATTTCCTCTCTCTCCCGCTTGTGCGCTTGCTCTCTCTCTCTCAAATAAATAAATAGATATTTTTAAAAAAAGAAAAGAAAGAGTGTGCACAAGCTGGGGGTAGTGGGAGGGGTGGAGGGAGAGAAAATCTTAAGCATACTCCCCTGCTGAGCGTGGAGCCCGACACAGGGCTCAATCCCATGACCTGAGATCATGTGACCTGAGCCAAAATCAAGAATCAGACTTAACCGACTGAGCCACCCAGGTGCCCCTGGAAAGTTTTTTTATTTATTTATTTATTTTTAAATTTTTTTATTTATTTATCAGAGAGACAGAGGCAGGCAGAGGGAGAAGCAGGCCCCTTGCTGAGCAAGGAGCCCGATGTGGGACTCGATCCCAGGACCCTGGGATCATGACCCGAGCCGAAGGCAGACGCTTAACTGACTGAGCCACCCAGGCACCCTGGAAAGTTTTTTTAAAATAAGATTTCCTAAAAAAAACAAAAAATAAATAAATAAATTCTCCAGAATCTAGTTTTTCTGGTTCAAAGAAAAAGTACTGCTTTGTGTCCCTTTCCTTCCCTAACTTTCATTTGTAAAATAACCTTTTTATTTTTCCTCCTCTTTCTTTCTCTCTCTCCCTTCTGGTCTTATGACACCAAGGGATCAGAAGGGATGATGTCCTGAAGTTGCATGAATTGCTTTAACGTCCCACCACTTATGGTGCCACAACCAGGACCAAGTCCCGTGCTCCTCCTCTGTAGTGGGGGTTTCTGACTGTTCTCTGAATTGTTTTTGCAGCCTCCTGAAATCCTGGGACTGGGTAGCCAGAAAGGGATCTCAGTAAGGAGAAGCTGTTAGGGATGGATGGTTGTGTTTGTCTCTGATTACATGCAGAGATGTGTCATGGAGATACAGTTTTTGGAGTACGAAGACATCAGAGTGGCTTTGACATCAGTGGGTTTGACTATTTACTGAATGCCAGGCATAGGCCTGGATATTTAAGGGGGATTGAATAGACTATCTCATTGCTTCTACTGGAGCTGCTTAGAATCTGTTTGAGGATATATGACATAAACGTATGGGTAGTTCATAGTAGGTGGGTTTCTGAGGCCCACAATTGTCCAGTGGTAGGTTCAGTTTGAAAGAAGTCTTCTGTATACCTAGTATTAGGACATTCTTAGGAAACTTCAATGCCTTTTCTTCCCTTTCTTTTTTATACTTCAGAATAGCTGCTATTTCCATAGCCTCTAAAATAACAGACATGCAGCTTGGAGATTCAGTGGAAATCAGCAAATTAATTACTAAGAAGGAAATTCACCAAGCCAGGTAATTTTTAAAATGTATGTCTTCTGTTAGAATTAATTTCCAGAGGGCAGGAACCATTCATTTGTCTCAATCTCCCAGAGCAAAGCCTTGCACACACAGTAGATGTTCCAACAGACATTTGATGTTAAGAGACTACCCTCACTCCAATCCCACGAATCTTACTCAGGATATAGCTATGACCAGAGGAGACTTTTCCAGGCCTCTCTTCAAACAGTAGCCAGAGGGAGCAGAGACCTAGGTGTGTCCAGCCCAACCCACAAAGAACCATCTGTGTCAAGAGAGGGGGGTGGGGCTGTCAGAAGGTCATTAGGACATTGGGACATTGGGGACACTTTGAGGCCCTTCTGAGGACTCCTAGATTTGATTCCCATAACCCAGAGACCCACCCACCTGTCCTTGAGAGGGACCTCATGCAACCCTGTTTTGGCCAGAGTCTGCTCTGTTTCCAGGTTGACAAAGAACTTATTGCTGGGTAGGAGCTATGAAAATCTGTGCCCTGACTTTATCTTTTTCATTTGTTTCTCAAGGCTGGAGTGTGATGAGGAGTGTTTAGCCTTGGAAAGGAAAAAGTAAGTCATTTCAACTGCTTTTGATCTACTTGTTCTTGAGCTCTGTGAAATTAATAGGAGGGAGCAACCTTTCAAGCATTCATTCAGCACCTGCTCTGAGTCTTTTGCTGCTATTGGAGATCAAGAGAAATTCGATCATCAGGAATTGAAATATCCTAAGGATAAACCACTTAGGTGATTTCAGCATATTTCTGAAACATGAGCTTGTTGGTTTGGGGCATGGTATAACATCACATGTCACAGCATACTTATTCACTGACTGGCAGACTTCTGATTCCAATGGAGATAAGAAGCTTAAAATTTTTTTAATGACCTTTATGTTGAAGTATAACGTACATATAGAAAGTTCAGAAGTGTACAGAAGTCATCACAAAGTAAATACAGTGGTGTAATCAGCACCCAGGTCAAGAAATAGAAAATTTCCAGAACACTTTCATACACAGGTAAAATGTATCTTTTGTATAAAGATAAAATGTCTATCCTGACTTCTAACACTTTAGATTAGTGTTGTCTGTTTTGAACTTTATATAAATGATGAAATCTTATAGTTGGTATTATTTTTGTCTGGCTTCTTTAATTACATTTGTGATATTCCTCTTGTTGCATGTAGCAATACTTTGTTCATTTGCATTCCTCCATGATATTTTACTATGTTAAGATATTATAATTTATTTATCATTCTACCATTAATAGGTATGTGTGTGGTTATCAGTATTGGGCTATTACAAATAATGCTCTGTTAAGAACATCCGTATATTCCCTTTGCTGTATATACATACTCATTTCTGTTAGTTACAAACTTAGGAGTAGAATTACCGATTAATAGGGTATTCATATGTTCAGCTTTAGTCAGCTCTACGCAGTGGTATCCAAAATGGTTGTATCATATTATACTCCCACCAGCAGGGTAATAGTTTCCATTGCTCTACACTTATATTAGCTCTTAGAATTGTTGGTCTTTTAAATTTTAATCTATTCTTGTGAATGTATATCTGGATGTCATTGAACTTTTAGTTTATATATCCCGATGACTAGTGAGGTTGAATACTTTTTTATATGTTTATTGGCAATTTGGATATCCCTTTTTGTGAAGTGCCTGTTCAGCTTTTTTGCTTATTTTGTAATTGTGTTGTCTTTTTTATATTGATTAGTAGGAGTTTTTTATATATTTTGGATATGAATCCTTTGTTGGTTTTATATATTGTATTTTCCTGTACTTCGTGCTTTCAGTTTTCACTCTCTTAATGGTATCTTTTGATAAGCAGAAGTTTCTAATTTTAATGTAGTCCAGTTTATCAATCTTTTCCTTAGTGACTAATGTTTTTTATGTCCTGTTTAAGGAGTATTTGTCTATCCTGAGGTCATGATGATACTCTTATTGTCTAGAAGCTGTATCATTTTACCTGTCATGTTTAGATCTACAGTTGACTGGACTAATTTTTTTTTTTAAGATTTATTTATTTATTTGACAGAGAGAGAGAGAGCACAAGAAGGTAGAGCAGCAGGCAGAGGGAGAGAGGGAGAAGCAGACTCCCTGCTGAGCAGGGAGCCCAACATGGGGCTTGATCCCCGGACCCTGGGATCATGACCTGAGCCAAAGGCAGACGCTTAACCGACTGAGCCACCCAGGCGCCCCTGGACTGATTTTTTTGAGCGTAGTTTAAGGAGAGTTCACAGTTCAGTTTTTTTCCATGTGAATATCCATGTGGCCAGTACTGTTACCAAGATGTTCTTTTCCCAGTCTTTCCAGTGCCATTTGTCTTAAATCAAGTATTCATATTATGTGTGAATCTATTGCTGAGTTCCTTCTCTTCCATCACACTAGTGTCACACTCTCTTAATTGTGGTACCTTTATAACAATAAAGGTGTTTTGTTTTGTTTTTTTAAAGATTTTATTTATTTCTTTGACAGAGAGAGAGACAGCGAGAGAGGGAACCACAAGCAGGGGGAGTGGGAGAAGGAGAAGCAGGCTTCCCGTTGAGCAGGGAGCCCAATGTGTGGCTTGATCCCAGGACCCTAGCATCATGACCTGACCCAAAGGCAGACACTTAACGGCTGAGCCACCCAGGTGCCCCACAGTAAAGGTCCTAATATCTGATAGTACATCTCTTCAAGCATGGTTCTGCAAGATTAACTTGGCTATTCTTGGGCATTTGCATTTCCATTTAAACTTTATAGAGTGAGCTTATCAATATCTGCCAAAAAACCTACTAAGATTTTTACTGAATTGGTATTTAATTTATAGATCAATTGGGGGAGATTTGACGTTTTTATATTAAGTCTCTTAATCCACGAGCAAAGTATATCCTTCCATTTATTCCTGTCTTCTTTGATTTCTCTCAGTAATACTTTATAGTTTTCTGTGTACAGATTTTGCACATCTTTCAGTAGACTTGTTCCTTGCTTTTGGTGTTTTTTGACACCTTTTTAAATGGTAATTTTTCTTGTATCACTTGTTTTTTTTTTGCTCTACCCCTTCTCCTCTCCCTTCCTCTATCACTTTTTTTTTAAATCAGGATTTATTTTTTTTTTATTTTTTTTAATTTAATTTTATTTTTTTATTCTTATGTTAATCCCCATACATTACATCATTAGTTTTAGATGAAGTGTTCCATGATTCATTGTTTGTGCATAACACCCAGTGCTCCATGCAGAATGTGCCCTCCTCAATACCCACCACCAGGCTAACCCATCCTCCCACCCCCCTCCCCTCCTCTATCACTTTTAAATTTTAATTTTCTAAAAAAAAATAATTTTCTAATTGCCTATTGCTGGTGTATAGAAATAGAATTGATATTTGTTGACCTGTATTCACTTGCTGAATTCACTTACTGTTTCATGCCCTCTTCCAATAATAGTAGTTTTATTTCTTTACAGTTCTTAACTTTTTTCTTTTTCTTGCCTTATTGCACTGGCTAGAGCCTCCAGTACAGTGTTGAATAGAAGGTGGTAATAATAGACATTCCTGACATCAGGCAGCTTTGAATATCTCACCACTAAATATGATGTTTTCTGTTAGTTATTTGAGGATACTCTTTATTAGATTAAGGGGCATTTATTCAGTGACCAGCAGACTTCCTGGTTCTAACAGATTGATAAAAAGGTATAGCCCTCTAAATGTTAACAATTGGAGAATTTCGGTGAACTGGTGTATACAGACAGTCCCCAACTTATAGTGTGATTAACTTACAATTTTTCAAATTCACAATGGTACAAAAGCAGTACACATTTAGTAGAAACCATACCTCAAATTTTGATCTTCTCTCAGGCTAGCAATATTCAGTATAATGATCTCTTATGATACTGGGCAGCGACAGCAAACTGCAGCTCCCAGTCAGCCATGCAGTCACAAGGGTAAACAACCCATACACTTAGAACCATTCTGTACCCATACAGCCATTCTGTTTTTCACTTTCAGTGCACTGTTCAGTAAATTACATGAGATGTTCAACACTTAATTATAAAATAGACTTTGTGGAGTGCCTGGGTGGCTCAGTCGGTTGAGTGTCCAACTCTTGGTTTCAGCTCAGGTCATGATCTCAGGGTCATGGGGTCGAGCCTCATGTCAGGCTCTGCACTCAGTGGGGAATCTGCTTGAGATTCTCTCCCTCTCCCTCTGCCCCTTCCCCCAATCTTGCGTGTGCGTGCATGCACACACACACTCTCTCAAATAAATAAATAAAATCTTAAAAAATAAAATGGGCTTTATATAAGATGATTTTACCCAACTGTAACCTAAGGTAAGTATTCTGAGCACATTTAAGGTAGGTTAAATGTATTAAATGCATTTTTTACTTACAATATTTTGAATTTACAGTGGTTTTGTCATTATAAAATGATACTTTGTCACTTTGAAAATTTCTCAAGTTAAATAGCTAGACAAATGCAGCCAAAGTATAGTCCTATTTTATCTTGACATTTGATTTTCCACTATTATTAACAGAACCTCTTTAAGTGGCTAAATGTGTAGGAGGTATATAATAAATAATAGCACTGCCCAAATTTCCCTTGGTAACTCTATAATAACTGCTGTTCAAAACTCTTGACCTTTAAGAACCATCAGTCACGATGTTCTCAGCTGCAAAATGTGAACTGAGTTATGAGTATTCAGAAATGCTGTAGTGAATACACAGAAGGCCTCTAAAGCATGGAAATGCACCTTTGTGTAGTTGAGAGACAGTATTATATAGTAGACTAGAGTCAGTTTGCCTGGATTTGAATCCTGCCTTCACAAATCACTTAGCTATGTGACCTTCGGCAAGTCATGTATTCTTTTAAAGCTTTAATTTTCTTAAAATCTGTGGACACAGTGACAATATGTACCTCCCACAGTTGTTGTGAGGATTCAAATAGTTATTAGTTATCCTCAGTAAATTTAGTTATTGATTAGAACTGGCTCTCTTGGGGCGCCTGGGTGGCTCAGTCGGTTAAGCCTCTGCTTTCAGCTCAGGTCATGATCCCAGGGTCCTGGGATGGAGCCCTGCATCGGGCTCCCTGCTTGGCAGGGAGCCTGCCTCTCCCTCTCCCCGACTTCTGCTCTCTCTCTCCCCCTCTCTCTCTCTCAAATAAATAAAATCTTAAGAAGAAGAAGAACTAACTGGCTCTCTGTTTTTGAAGGCCTTTTGAATTTCTCCTCCATCTTAGAGTGATAACCTATGATGGTCCTCACTATATAGAGATTCTTTCTCAAATACCCACTGGCCTAGGGGGGGAAAAATGCCAATTTAAAAAAGAAAATATGAGGGGTGCCTGGGTGGCTCAGTCCTTAAGCGTCTGCCTTCGGCTCGGGTCGTGATCCCGGGGTCCTGGGATTGAGCCCCGCATCGGGCTCCCTGCTCGGCGGGAAGCCTGCTTCTCCCTCTCCTGCTCCCCCTGCTTGTGTTCCCTCTCTCGCTGTGTCTCTCTCTGTCAAATAAATAAATAAAATCTTTAAAAAAAAAAAGAAAATATGAGGTGCCCAACTGGCTCAATCAGTAGAGCATGCAACTCTTGATCTCAGCGTTGTGAGTTCGAGCCCCATGTTAGGTGTAGAGATTATTTCTTAAAAATTAAAAATCTCAGGGGCGCCTAGGTGGCTCTGTCAGTTAAGCGTCTGTCTTCGGCTTAGGTTGTGATCCCAGGGTCCTGGGATCGAGCCCCACATCGGGCTCCTTGCTCAGCAGGGAGCTTGCTTTTCTCCTTTTCCCTCTGCCTGCCGCTCCCTGCTTGTGCTCTCTCTCTCTCTCTGTCAAATAAATAAATAAAATCTTTAAAAAAAAAAATTAAAAAATTAAATCTTAAAAAAGTACCATCTAAAGTTGCAAACAGGTGACGCTGCGGTGCACCAAGTCTCCCCACGTCGCATTGCCATGGCTGCCCATGGCGTTGCTGCTGCCGGCAAGGGTCTGTGCTACACCGAGTAGTCGCCGCCGGCAACTAAACGGCCGGACGCGGACATGGACCAGGGACTGGCAAGAAGTTTGATAGCTGTAGGACTGGGTGTTGCAGCTCTTGCATTTGCAGGTCGCTATACATTTCAAATCTGGAAGCCTCTAGAACAAGTAATCACAGAAACGGTGAAGAAGATTTCCACTCCTAGCCTTTCATCCTACTATAAAGGAGGATTTAAACAGAAAATGAGTAGGCGAGAAGCTAGTCTTACTTTGGGTATAAGCCCATCTGCTGGCAAGGCCAAGATTAGAACAGCTCATAGGAGAATCATGATTTTCAATCACCCAGTTAAAGGTGGATCTCCTTACTTAGCAACCAAAATAAATAATGCAAAAGACTTGCCAGAAGCACCACAAAACATTGATTGATGCTTAAGAATCATTCTGAAGGAAAAAAGGGGGGGAATATAAAACAAGTCCTGCAAAGTAGTCTAAACCACGGTGTTCGTAATTTTCATACATGCACTAACCACAATCATTTATTCCACTATTAAGGTATATAATAATAAAAGATTAACAATCAAAAAAAAAAAGTTGCAAACAGGAACGCCCGAGTGGCTCAGTTGGTTAAGCGTCTGCCTTTGGCTCAGCAGGGAGCCTGCTTCTCCCTCAGCAGGGAGCCTGCTTCTCCCTCTGCCTGCCGCTTCCCCTGTTTGTGTGCTCTGTCTCTCTGACAAATAAATAAAATAAATAAAATCTTTAAAAAAAAAAAAAGTAAAGTTGCAAACATATATTCTATTGCAAGCAATGAAAACTGGCAGGCCAAATTCAGCCCACAGATATGTTTTATTAATAAGTGTTTAAATTTGAGGGCGCTTGGGTGGCTCAGTTGGTTAGGCGACTGCCTTCGGCTCAGGTCATGATCCTGGAGTCCCGGGATCGAGTCCCGCATCGGGCTCCCCGCTCGGCAGGGAGTCTGCTTCTCCCTCTGACCCTCCCCACTCTCATGTGCTCTCTCTCAAATAAATAAATAAAATCTTTAAAAATAAATAAATAAATAAATAAAATAAGTGTTTAAATTTGAATTTGTGGCCAACTAATCAAAACATCAAAAAATCTCTCAAGAATTGCTCTCGAAAATTTCAAAAGTAAGCTTAAACCAGATTCTTACGGGCATTAAACTTGCAAGAGACCCTTTTCTCAGTGTGAGCAAAAATTGTACTAAGTGCTAAGCTGAATTTTATCTCTTTATAAAAGAAAGACATAACTGGGTGTTGATGAGGTGCCATGAGACTCGTCCACTGGCAGTCAAAACACAAATGGGCAGTTGTGGAAAGCTCTCAGACTGTGTTGCTCATGAGTCTGACATCCATACCATCTTACCTGGTAATCTCACAACTGGAAATATTTTCAAGAGAAATAACCTTAAAAGTTTTTTGCCCAGTGATATTGTGTCACTTAAAATATTCAGAAACTGGGGAACTGTTAAAGAAACTAGGGAATTTTTTTTTTTAAGATTTTATTTATTTGAGAGAGAGAGAGAATGAGAGAGAGAGCACATGAAAGGGGGGAGGGTCAGAGAGAGAAGCAGATTCCCCGCTGAGCAGGGAGCCCGATGCGGGACTCAATCCAGGGACTCCAGGATCATGACCTGAGCCGAAGGCAGTTGCTCAACCGAGCCACTCAGGCGCCCAGAAACTAGGGAATGTTTAAGTAAATTCTGGTATATACATAATTAGAAGATTATGTACCTATTAAGACAGTAAATGTGTGGGGTGCCTGGGTGGCTCAGTCATGAAGCGTCTGCCTTCGGCTCAGGTCATGGTCCCAGGGTCCTGGGATCGAGCCCCACATCAGGCCCTCTGCTTGGCGGGAAGCCTGCTTCTCCCTCTCCCACTCCCCCTGCTTGTGTTCCCTCTCTCACTGTGTCAAATAAATAAAATCTTTAAAAAAAAACAGTAAATGTGAAAAACAAATAGTAATATGAGAAATGCCAATCATATAATGATAGGTGAAGAAAGGTGCCAAGTTGGGGTTTTTTAGGGTTTTTTTCTTTAAGTTTTTTTTTTTAAGATTTATTTATTTGAGAGCGCAAGAAAGAGAGAGCGCACAAGCAGAGGCAGAGGGAGAAGCAGGCTCCTCACCGAGCAAGGAGCCCGATACGAGACTTGATCCCAGGACCCTGGGATCACAACCCAAGCTGAAGGCAGATGCCCAACTGACTGAGCCACCCAGGCGCCCTAAGATTTTATTTTTAAGTAATCTCTGCACCCACCGTGGGGCTCGAACTTACAACCTGGAGATCACAAGTCACATGCTCCACTGATTGAGCCACCCAGGTGCCCCAGATGCCAAGTTTTATATACCCTAATTGCAATGACTTAAAGGTAAAAAAATCTGAAAGGAAGTGTAATAAAATATAGTGCTTAGGTTGTTAATGGAATTTTTCCCTTTATTTTCCAGATTTTCTGTAAGGTGATTCTAATTTTAATGTTTATGTGTCTACTTTATGTATCTGATGTTTAGGTAAAACCTCAGAGACTGCCATGCCATCCCCCACTGACCACTCCCAGTGCTCTCATTCCCCGCCCCCCCTCTTCCAGATAACCCAAGCTGCCAGTGTCAGTCCATTTGGTTCACTCAGACCCACATAGATTTGTCTTGTTTATTTTATTCTAGGAAGACAAACTCATATCTTGTCCCAAGTTGTTGTTATTCCTTCCTTAATAATTGGGTTTGCCAAAATGGCATCATTAATGTATAAAGAACTTAGGACATGGTGGGCACTCTGTGTTACTATAAGAAGTTTTCCTCCCCTTTCCTTTTATTTACTTATTTCTCTCTTATTTTCAGGCGGTTAGCAGAGGCATTTCATATTAGTGAGGATTCCGATCCTTTCAATGTACGTTCTTCAGGGTCAAAATTCAGTGACAGTTTAAAAGACGATGCCAGGTATGTATGTAACTTGTTACCAGCTTTCTTAATTTGGCTTACAAGAGTGTTTGGTGTTTTAAGTTGTAGTAACTAATACGTACTCCTCTGTGATTGAGCCAGTTAAAGTTTATATATCTATTATAAGAGATTATATGATGCTTAATAAAAATCCTTTCTTGGTTTCTCACAATTGTCCCCTTGAAGAATTGAGCATGGGGTGTGGGTGTGTGGACCCTGTAGTAGAAGTTTGGGGCTCCTAGGGCTTGGACTAGCCTGACCTGAGAGATCTCTGGCTGCCGACATGGGCCGGCCCTCACTTGGGCAGTAATAGCTGTTATTTTCCTCCTGTGTCCTGACCCTCCAGACAGCTCTTTCTCCTTCCCATCATCTCCTTTCTCATACTTGTTTTCTTTTTCTCTTCCTTTGTTATTCACAGTCAGTCTTCTGTTATCTGACAATTCCTGACCTTTGCCATTTTTCCGCCCACATTGTTCATTGTCTGCAGGTTAGGGCAGAGAGTGTGGGTGGAAGGGAGTCTCAAAGAGCAGGAACAGAGGAAATTAACTGTGGTGATTTCTCATTTCAGGAAGGATTTAAAGTTTGTCAGTGACATTGAAAAAGAAATGGAAGCCCTTGTGGAGGCCGTGAATAAGGTTGAAGTCAAAACATCCAACTGGACATGTCTCTAAGGCTAGCTTGATTAAAAAAAAAAAAAAATCAAGTCCCAGAAACACCATCAGTGTAGAGTAGTTACAGGAAAATGTCACAACTTCTTAACGATCCTTATCTTTCCCAAAAGCCCAGCCATTATAACATCCATGGAAGCCTTGTCCTGGTTCAGCAAAGATATGCTCCATCAAATTCAGTGTAAATAAAAAATCTTAGCTTAGTGGCTAAGATTGGGTGAAGAAGCTCTGGAAAGCCAGAGGCATTCAGTAGTGACAGCTGAATGACTGTTGGGTACTTAGGAAGACATAGTCTCTGGGGGGCTGTTGAATGATAGGGCACACTGGTTCTTTATTACCCCCCAGGCAGAGTAGAAACCCTTGGGTAAGGATCAAAAGTTGAATGACTAGAGCCCTTGTCCTGGAGATAGCTTTAAGGGAAAAGTCTTTTAGTCAGAAGCAGCCAACCTCAGGGTGGCTCCCTCTTTATTCCGTGGGGACCGTGAATGAGGATGAGATGCCTGTATTAGTTCCATATCTAATGAAGGTGGATTTCCTTCCCACCATCTCCCTTAGCCCCTGCTCTTCCTCCCTTCGTTCCCTCTGTTCCCACTTCCCAGGATACTAACATGAAGGAAAAAATGGGATCATTGTTCCTCTCTAACTAGGAAACCTGTGCAAATGTATTTCCCTGCTAGTGTGTCTGTACCTGCACACTCATGATTTTTAGTGTAGAATATATTTTTATAAGAAATGAGACTGTCTTGTTTTAGGTCTTCAATTTATTTATTCATTTCTTGGGTATATCACTTACTCCCCAGTTACCAGCCCGGTAGGAGGAACCATTATACTGTCCACCTAGTTTCTTTTCACTTACTAACCCTGGCCAGCTGCTACTATTGCAGCTCAAAGAATAGATGAAGGAAGTGCATCAGACCTCATCCTCCCAAACCCCTCAGCTTGCTTAGCAGCCAGCAAAATACTGTATGCTGTGGGCCTCTAAAACTCAACCACCTCTTTGTTGACCCAGCTGTTTTGGACCTTTGTAAGTATATTCTGTTTGCAGGATGATTTTATCAATCAGTCATCTTTTCCCTCAATACAGGGAAAGAATAGTAAGAAGAGCCACTGCTTCCCTCCCATGAACAGAGACCACCGCCGGATCATCCACGACCTGGCCCAAGTGTATGGCCTGGAGAGCGTGAGCTATGACAGTGAACCAAAGCGCAATGTCGTGGTCACTGCAGTCAGGTGGGTTGATCTTGCCATCACAGGAGGAATGCTCATTTCGGCAAGCTGAACCTCGGAAGCAAGGTCTACCAACATTTGCTTGCCTTAATTCCTCTCCTAGAAGAATAGATAGAAAATCTGCTTCTGGGCTAGCCTTTCTGACATGATCAGAAGGTCTGATCTAAAGGTCTGAACCAGAGAGCAAAGCCCATGCTTCAGTCCCCAGGACAGACATGCCTAAAGACACACAAGGCTCTTGTCTGCCCTGATTCATGAGCAACACTGGAGGCAGCATTTCCTCAGGCCCAGGGAACAGACCCTGAGGGCCTGGCTTGAGTGCCTGCCCATCCCATCTGTCTGTCCCTTTTTCCCTTGTCCTCCGGCATGATGAAAGCAAAAAATGCTGGACTCTGATTCAGGGCATCCCCCGTAAACAGTGTGTGCCAGTAGAAGAAACTGAGGCTGCAGTGTGAGCTGGGAAGTGACAGGGAGGATCTAGGATCACTGTCAGAACCTGACAGAGTAGGTTCTTACCAGTGAAGAAAACTTGAGCATGGGATGAGAGGGAGCAGCTAACAGGCCCGGGCAGAGGTGAGTGGGAGGACGAGGGCTAAATGAAGGTGACCATGCCTGAGAGGGGATGGATCACATCAGAGCCCTTAGCAGCTGCACAGTGAGAGTCTTGACTGGATTCCCAGCCGTCTGCCTGTCTCCACAAACAGTTCTCACTTTCAATACTCTGTGTTCTGACTTTTATCAGAGGGAAGTCCATTTGTCCTCCTAGCACGCTGACATGTGTCCTTGAAAGGGAAATGCAGTCACGACCTCCACCACCAATTCCTCATCACAGACATCAGACAGACAAGTAAGGATCCTTCAGCTGCTTTCCAAAGGCCCTGTCTATTCAGAGACGCCAGCAGGGGCTGAACTGTCTGGGACTCCACCAGCCATTGGCAACCTCTCAGGCCTGGCCTTGGGGTGCTTTGTTCAAATTAGTAAGGTTTGACTGGGAGGTCAGACATTTGTTCCTGCCTGAGGGGTCCCAAGTTTGATGTTCGTAATGCCCACTTCCCCTCTGGGAAAAAGTCACTGGACATAACTTCCATGGTGTAGGTGGTGACACTGGGAAGTGGATTCAGTCTGTCACACCAGAGGATTTAGGAACATCACATGGTTCACAAAGTTATTGTGGAGGTGAAAGTCAGCTAGTGGGCGGGGTTGCAGTGAAGGTAGAGACTTTTGTGTTTTGACCTGTCTACTTCTGTATGGTTTAAATAATTTTTATAACAAAAACATATTTTCATGATTTAAAGAGAAAAGAAAACCACATTGGCAAGCAGCAAGTCTTAGGAGCAGGGAAGGAGCACCATCCCTTTTCCCCTTATTGTGACTGAGGCAGCATTGCTGAAAGTTGCTCTAAAACCCAGCAGGGTCCCTAATGCTGTCCTGGCCTTCCACACAGCTGCCCTACCAGAACCTCTTATACAAAACCTCTGGGAGGGCGGGAAGGGCAGTTTATAGGGTCACCATGATGGCCTTAGCAAGCAGTGTTCCCAAAGACTGGACAGGACAGCTAGGTGTTGCCCATTGGGCATAACCTTGGCAAGGATTGTCTAGATCAGTGTAGTTCCCCAGGACCAGCCCTGCTTCACCCCTGGAGAGCAGACGGCCTGGATTCTAGTCAGCCCAGCTCCATATCCATGTGGGCAGTGGTTTGGGAAATGTGAAGGTATTCCACATGTTATTCCACAGCTGTGTCCAATACTACCTCAACATAACCGTGTGGGATCTTTGGCCTGTTTATGCCATGCTATCTTTTTTTCCCTTTGTTTGCTTTATTTTTGTATAAAACTTTATTGTGGAAAACTTTTAGAGTAGAGAATATGTTAATATAGTGAACCCTTGTATGCCCATCACCAAATTCTAATAGTTCCCAGCTCATGTGGGCCCCCCTATCTTATCAAAGCTTTGCAAATGGCAAATTGGCTGATCCTTAACTTTCTGAAGACTTCAGTCTGTTTCCCCCAAAGAAAAGATTGATCATTCTTTGTTTGCTTTTCAGGAATCCTGCAAGCAGTAATTTACAGAAAATAGCCAAGGAACCAGTAATTGACTACTTTGATGTCCAGGACTGAGAAGATCAAGATGCACTTAGATAAAAGAATGATTAGGTGTGATGGAGACTTGTTTGCCAGCAGATAAATCATGCTTGTTCCCAACTGCCTGGTGGACTCACACACAGTCTCACATACTGTCTTGTACTGATACGTCCAAAGCATGAGTGTGTCAGAAATTCCCTTGTCCTCTCTTCTGTCTGTATAAAGTGTTTCAGTACAGCCAGATCTCTGACTAGATGGTCACTAGTGATTCAGTCATGTATTTGCAGAAGCTCCACCATCACTGATTGCTCAGAGGGCCGGGGGAACATTGGGTTTGATTTGAACAAACCAGAATTTTAGCATGAAAGTGGCACTTAGTCAAAGCCTCAGTTGTCCCAATTATCCATCTTCCTCTTAAAAATGCCTGCAACATTAGCTGCACCTCATTTTTTGGATTAATCCAAACTGATCACAATCTTTGGAAAGACACAAGTGAACTTCTCAGTCCAAAATACCAAACACATCCAGAATCACACGTGTTGTGTTAAACCTAGCTATCTTATCTGAGTCTTTTGCCAAAAACTCTCATAGGTCTATCTGGCTGAATTGATCTTAGGGGTTCTTAATGCCATCAGTTCTAGACCTAGAAAAGGGGTCAGGGTGCTTTACAGAATTCCATTTTCTAGAGTTCAGGGATGTGGCTCATACCACATCACCGAGCCTGTCCTGTTGCAGTTGAGCTATATATGCTATGATGGTAGAGGACATAGAGCAAGCTCCTCCTCCTGCCAGGTTCACACTGTGGCCTCTGTGTACTGACCAGTGTAGCCCTAACTCCTCTTTGGTTGAGAAAGAGTCTCAGATAGATTTACCTTTCCTGTGTTGCTTTCTCCCAGGCCTGGAGCAGCTGTATTGGCTCTCCTTGTCTCTGAGCTCTGGACTTCTGTTTAAATATTCACAGAAGTATGTGGACAGTCCAGGGCTTATCCCAACAGCCCTCTGGAGGCATTCTTGAGTCTTTTGTAAAGGCAGGTGCATTGACAGTTAACATTAGTTTGGCCCTCTCTGCCGTGGCACCCTTCCAGCTTGGAGGCCGGACTTGCAACAACTTCTTTGTCCAGAGCAAGCCCAAGCCCCAGAGCAACGGATTTCAGAAGTGATGTCACAAAACTGGCACTTAGTTTTCATAGGAAGAGCAGGACCACCCTTTGGTCCTGACCCAGACAATCTGCCTTGAGAGGCAGCAGGTATAGGAAGAAGAAGAAGCAACTGGAGGGAGGAGATGGAAAACTACAAAACCTCCTCTCTCTCGACTCATTTAGCACAGGGTCAGTGGCCCCAAACACAGCAGGAAGCCCACGAGCATCTGTTAACATCTTTGAAGCAGTGGTTCAATGGATGACCTGCTCATGAAGAACATCTCAGAATTCAGGAGGCAGGAGACCTGATTCTAGATGCCAGCTGTGCCACATAACTCGCCACTTGATGGAATGGAGGTATCCACCTGCCTTAGCAGGGTCGTTGTAAAGATTAAATGAGATCAGATACATGTAGGTGCCTGATCTATCATGAATGCTAAAAGTTTATATAAATGATACTTGGGGGTGCCTGACTGGCTCAGCTGGTAGAGCATCTGACTCTAATTTTGGGGTCATGAGTTCAAGCCCCATGTGGGGTGTAGAGTTTACTTAAAAAAAAAATGAGGGGCACCTGGGTAGCTCAGTCCGTTAAGCTTCTGACTTTTGATTTCAGCTCAGGTCATGATCTCAGGGTTATGAGATGAGCTCTGCTCTGGGCGTGGAGGCTGCTTAAGATTCTGTCTGTCCTCCCTCTGCTCCTCCCCCACCCACCTCTCTCTGTCTGTCTCCCTCTCTTAAAAAAAAAAAAAAAGATACTTAGTATCTGGAAAATATATAAGCATCTTCTTCCTCCATACTATTAGCTAAGTAAAAGTATAGAATGCTAAACAGACCTCTTCTGGAGAATGCTTATGTGCCCACCACGTGCAGCCTTGTGCTAAGGCTGTGGCCTGTTCTTCACAGTTAGTAATCCAGCAGAGGACACATACCTGAACAAATATCTATAATGGAATTGGTCATCTACAAATAAGTCATTAGTCTGTTATTAAAAGCTGAGTAGAGCCATAAGAGGAGTTTCCTGTGACGTGGTAGGAGTGGGTTAGCTCTCGTGGTTGGGAGAAGGGAAACGGGAGGAAACATTTGGGCTGAGTCTTAAGATGGTAGTCTGCCATTAGAAGAAGAAGAGAAGCATGCCAAGGAAAGATAAATAGCGTAAGACAAGCCCAGGGATGTGGTTTGTGGTGGGGTTGAAGAACAGTTATTTGTTCAGAGTGGGCAGACAACTGGAAGGACAGGTGATGAGGCTGGAGAGGTAGGAAGGGGTCAGCTGTGGAGAACCACAAGGAGCCACTGGAGGGTCCTAAGCAGAGAATGGCATGACTGGATTTTTGATCCAGAGTGGGAGTCAGCAAATGTTTTCTGTAAAGGTCCAAATAGGAAATATTTTAGGCTTTGTGAGTCTTAGAGTTTCTGTTGCAGCTACCCAGCTCTGCCATTGTGATGTCAAAGTGGCCGCAGACAATACATAAGCAAATGAGCATGACTCTGTCCCCGCAATACCTTATTTTATAGACACTGAAATTAGAATCTCATACAATTTTTCATGTCACAATATCATTTTTTTCCCAGCTAAAACCATTTTTAGCTCATGGGTTGTACAAAAACAGGCAGCAGGCTGGATTTGGCCAAGGACCTTAGTTTGCCCGCCCAGTTCTAGAGCAGTGTCTCCAGCAGAGTGTATAGAAGGGATTGGAGGATTAACTTTGAGGCAAGAGACCCAGGAAAGAGCTATAGGGAGTGATCCAAGTGAAAGATGAGGATGGGGGTTAGTGCTGCAAAGGGAAGAGATTCAGGAGATTGGATAGGATGCTTGGGGTCATCGGGGAGCTAACACCCCTCGGATCACTAAAGGGGCCCCAGGCCCCCTCAGCAAGGGGAAGCTCCTTTCTCATGGGTTTGGCAGATTCTCCACTGAGCAGTGGCCTTGGGCAAGAATTTACATGTGGACTAAAGGAATCCATTCGTGGAGGAATCCCACGGGTGACGACCCCACATTACTGCTCCCTGAGAATCAGGTGATAGCATCCCTTCCCCTTCCAGGCCCGCCCTCTCCTTCAGCAGGAGGTTCTTTATGGGGCCAGAGCTTTTCAGAGACCCAAGTTCTTATCTCTGGAATTCCCTCTGGCTTGTCAGGCAGGGCTGGCTCCTTTCAACAGTGGTGCCAGTCTGAGGTGCAGTGGGAGGTTGTATTCAGGCTTGGAGATGAAAGCAGCCCTCCTGATTGCAGGGGTCTGTGTGAAGCAGCTCTGGATCCTGTCCTGGACAGGCCAGAGAGCAGACCACGGGAGGGGAAGAAAGAATGTCAGTCTTGTAGGAGAGGTTCAAAGTCTCAAACAGTGGGTCCTGTGATTTAGGTTTGGGGGAGGGGATCCTTCCATCATGGTGTCAGCCTTCTTGCTTCATGCCTGAAAGCCTGGAGACCTTGTTCTCTAAGGATAACCTGCTAGTGTGCCTTCTCTTCTAAAATTGGGGTGTGAATGCCTGGTCACCTTCACAGACCTGCCTTCCTCATCAGTCCTTTCATATGCCCAGCCATACCCATTGTGAAATTTCTTCCTCCCAAGCTCCCTACATGACCTCAGCACAGATACCCCAGACGATCTCTCATGGCTTTTTAGAGCCCACAAATCCCCAAAGAGCTCTAAGCTAGCCCAACCCTCAGTCTACAAAGGCCTAGCCCAGAAGGGGCAAGGCTCCATGGGGTCACTCTCAGTGTGAGCCAGGCCAAGACTGGAATCTAGGTCGGGAGGTGTCTGAGTCCTCAAGGAAAGGGCAACTGTCTTCCCCAAACAGGATTCCCTTGGAGCCCTTCCCAGTGGCCCGGGCCACCCTCAGCCTCAGGCTTTATGCGGTAACTCTTCATAAGGCATAGCCTCCTGGGAGAGAGGGAGAGAAAGAATCTCAAGCAGACTCCCCACTGAGCACGGAGCCCAACACAGAGCTTGATCCCACGATACGAGATCATGACCTAAGCCGAAACCAAAAGTTAGATGCTCAACCAATGGCATCACCCAGGTGCCCCTGAAGTATATATTACTATCTCCATTTTACCAATGGGTAAAGGTTGAAGTTAGGTCCCTTGCCCGAGATCACTCAATGAATAATTGGGGATCTGAAATTCCTGTAAGGCCGGACTCCAAAACCTGTGTCCTCCACTACACACACAGTTTACCTTGGAGTCTCTGGGACTGCAATATCTGGCAGGTCAGGACAGGTGGGATGGAAGTTTATACTGTGTTCTAATGTAGGGAACACCAGCAACCCCCAGAAAATGGGACTTTTCCTAGAATGGCTGCTAAGGGACAGTATGTATCCCCAAACCAGGAGCCTGGGGAGTGGTGGGGTAGCGGTTCCACTTTGCTTCAAAAAAAGCTCTTACTTAAAACTTTTTAGTAGAGTTTATAACCAGTATCTTTAAAAATTATTACCTCTCCATTTTTTTAAAATACTGTTTTCTGTTTGTTGACATAAACAGCATAAGCACGGGGAAAAACATAAGTCACGCAGATATCTGAAGGAAAAACATCCCAGGCAGAGGGAACAGCCATTGCGAAGACTCAATGGTGGAAACATCCCATGTACCTTGAAGGAACAGCAAAGCCATCCAGCTGTAGGGGAATGAATAGGGAGAAAGAAGCAGGGGCCTGGAGACCATTGGGAGGCTTAGGGCAGAGGAGTAAAGGATGTGGTTTGGCTTATTTTTTGAAAGGAACATTCCAGCTGATGTATTGAGACTACACTATAGGGGTGACTCAGAGCAAAAAGGCTGGAAGATGATCAGAAGACGACTTCTGTAATCCAAGAGAGGTCTGGGTGATGGTGGTGGGGTGATGAGAAGTGGTTGGTTTCTAGATAATTTTGCAGGTAACACCTATAGGGTTTGCTAACAGCTGGGATGTGGGTGGGGTGTGAGAGAGAATGGAGTCAGGGACGACTTCAAAGATTTTGGCCTGAGCAACGGGAAGACTGAATTTGCCATTTACTGAGATAGGAAAGAGTGTGGGAGGAGCAGGCTTGAGGGATGAAAATCTGTTCAGTGGGTGGTTGTACATGGGAATCTAAAGTCTGGAAACAGGATTGGACAGGAGATCTAATTTGGGGAGCTGTTGGCATATAATGGTATTTACAGGCTGGTAAGGTCACGTTGGGAAGGAGGGTGAAAGAGAAGAGGTCTAAGGACTGTACTCTGGGCACTCCATCATCTAGAGGGCAGGGAGCTGAGGACAGGGCAGGAATCAGACATTTCTGGAGCCAGAGCTGGGGGTTGAAGTTGGAGGACTCAGTGCTACAGGAAAGTCCTGTGTGGTGGGGGTCTCTGGAGTTTTCCTCCTGGTTGCCTAGGAGAGTCTGGGCTTCTTTTGCTTGCCTGACCGTTCTGAACCTTCTGAGAGAAGGGGCTGGCCCCATAGTACAAGTCAATTAGGGTTCCTGGGGCCAGGGGAGATCATGGGCCTTGGCTGCCTCCTCCCCTTTAGCCATCTCTTAAACATGGGTACTCTCCAGGACTCCATCATCTCTCTCTGGGCCACCTCATCCATCTGCAAGCCTTCATGTGCCTCTCTGGACTTAAAAGCTCTATCTCTAGCCCAGCCTGTGTTTATCCCTGGATGCCCCACAAACACCTCCAGTTCAGCATGTCCAACCTCCAAACTCTCTCCTAGTATATACACTACTTTCCAGTCTCTCCTACCCCAGCACTGATTCTCCCTTAGAAGTTCATCTTCTCCCTAATGTCCTCGACCTGGGGCAAGAGGCCAGAATAGAGTGGGGGTTCTGGGGCAGTGGGGAGGACAGGAACACATTCTTGCTGGACCTGGCTGGACTGTGCCAAGGGCCTTTTGTGACCCCCATCTGAGGAATCCTCCTTACCAGCCGATGGGGATTTTGTTGGGTCCCTGGAGGACTCAAGGGATCAGTCCCAGATTTAAGACCTCATCTGTGTGCCTGGGTGTACCTGGCTCTGAGCTGTGTGTCTTCTCTCTCTGCCCCTGACCCAGCCTATGAAGGTCCAACCGCCCTTATTAAGACCCCCAACTGGGCCAAGAGCATAAGCATCCCCTCCAGAAGCCCCTGCACACACCCTCCAGCACCTACCCACCCCCTTGACTCCTGAGCACAGATGTAAGGGGAGACCATGACCTCTGGCAAATTCTTCCTCACCCTGCTTCATCACAGCAAAGTGCCAAGGGCAAAATTGAAACCTGAAGCACCTCGCCTCTGAGCTTCATTATCCCCATTTTACAGATGAGGAAATGGAGGCCCAGAGAGGTTCAGTAACATGCCAAAGCTCAGTGGAGGGCACTTGAGTGTTTGGGGTTATTTGTTCATTAGGGGTCTTTGTTTTTTTAGTGTTTCATTATTTTAACTGTACCTGTATGTTATATATGCATATTTATAGGATGTATTTCACAATTTAGGGACCAAACAAAAAAACTAGGCAAGGCCATATTGGTAAGGACTGGAATCCCTACTGTCTACCCCTTACCAAGCCAATCTCCCCAGGCCTCAGCTTCCTTGGATGTAAGATGGGCATGATGATGTGAGGACCACAGGAGGGTGTAGCATGGCAACAGGGAACGCACTGCCCACATGCCAGGCAGACTCATTTTCTCATCCCAGCAGCCTTGTGAGGTGGGAGCTATTATTATCCTGTCTTACCTAAAGTCAGCCAGCTAGTGAGTGGTAAGAGCCAGGATTTGCATCCAGCCTGACTGCCCTCTTTGTGCTCTCAGGGGCCCCAGTATGGGCCCTGCGGCACCCAGGAGGACTGGGTCATACCTCTTTCCCACTTCAGGGTCAGCACAGAGGTAGGTACATAGCCATGGGTCAGGCTGCACAGCTCTGAGGGGCCACAGGACCCCAGCCTGGCCCGAGATGGCTGCTCCCATCTCTTTCTGGGCTGCAGGACCCCATCTGAGGGAGGAGACAGACTAGCCCGACCGGCGTGCTGCCTGTGGGTGCCTGTCCTCGGAGGCCCTGAGTGGGAAGAACAGGCAAGGAGAGGGAGTGAGGGGCTCTCCCAAAGCCAGGACCACCACGCTGAGGAGCAAACTTTCATCTGCAAAGTCCTGAAGTGGCCTGGCCTGGGGCTGGGAGTTGTTCCTGCCCTACCCTGTCCCCGTTTCAACCACAGCCTCAGTTGGGGTGGGGGAAGGGAAGTGAGGTCATGACATGAGACTGCAAAGTACTGAAGAAGTCAGAGCTGGGGTCTCCCCGCAGACACCAACAAATCCAAGCCTCATGCATAGATAGGGAAAATGAGACTCAGAGAAGGGAGGGGTTCCGTCCAGGTCACACAGCCAGTTTGTGTTGGGCTAGGGCCTTGGAGAATGGGAGCTGAACAGGACTTCCATGACTCATATCCCAACCTGGCTCCCAGAGCTACACAGATGCATCTCCTGGATCCAGCCAGGGCGCAGTTACAGGAGAGACGCGCGCGCGCGTGTGTGTGTGTGTGTGTGTGAGTGAGTGACAGCAGAGCTAAGGGCGCGGTTACAAGAGAGACCGCGTGTGTGTGTGTGTGTGTGTGAGTGAGTGAGTGACAGCAGAGCTAAGGGCGCGGTTACAAGAGAGACCGTGTGTGTGTGTGTGTGTGTGTGTGTGTGTGAGTGAGTGACAGCAGAGCTAAGGGCGCAGTTACAAGAGAGACCGTGTGTGTGTGTGTGTGTGTGTGTGTGTGTGTGTGTGTGTGTGTGACAGCAGAGCTAAGAGCCAGGGACCCACAAGGCACTGTGACGCCCACCCCACCTCATCCTACTTCTTTCCTTCCTTCCTTCCTGCCTATCTGCCTGCAGTGAGACCTACGGCCATCCTACCCTGAATGCGCCCAATCTCGTCTGCCTCTCTCTTCCAGAGACCTCCCTTACCTCTGCCCCAGGCCTTGGGCTTACCTCTCCCCTGGGCCTGGCCTCAGTTCACCTTAACCTACTTGTCTGACCTTCTCTTCTTCCACTCTTCCTTCCCTTTTTCCATTCCAGTAGTGGCCCTCCACACTCCCACCTGAGGGCCTTTCAGTGGCTTCCCTCAGCCTGGAATGCTCTCTCTCTGGTGTCCACATGGCTCACTCCCTCTCCCCCTTCAAGTCTTTGTGTAAAGTCACCTTCTTAGTGAGGTCTTTGGTCTTTACGGCCCCATACGCTTCCTATCTGTCTTTCCTTTTTTTTTTTAAGATTTTATTTTTATTTTATTCTTTAAGATTTTATTTAACCCAATGTGGGGCTCAAACTCACAGCTCCAAGATCAAGAGTCACAAGCTCCACCAACTGAGCCAGCCAGGCACCCCCATCCCTTCTTTTTTTTAAAGTAGATTTATCTGGGGGCACCTGGGTGGCTCAGTCAGTTAAGCATCTGCCTTCAGCTCAGGTCATGATCCCAGAGTCCTGGAATCGAGCCCCATATCAGGCTCCCTGCTCAGCGGGGAGCCTGCTTCTCCCTCTGCCCCTCCCCTCACTCGTGCTCACTCTCCCTTGCAAAAAATAAAATAAAATCTTTAAAAAAATAAATAGTTTTGGGCGCCTGGGTGGCTCAGATGGTTAAGCGTCCTGGGGTCGAGTCCCGCATCGGGCTCTCTGCTCCTTGGGAGCCTGCTTCTCCCTCTGCCTCTCTCTCTGTCTCTCATGAATAAATAAATAAAGAAAAGAAAAGAAAAAAATAAATAGTTTTATCACATATGTATGCCCAAAGAATATATTCCTTTTTGCTTGTTTTTCAATGATAGCACTGGTGTCATACTGAATAGTGTACTGCACCGCTTTTTATGCCTCCACACGTTTTCCATGTTGTTACAGGAAGCTGTCATGCCTCAGTTTTCACTGACGTATCATGTCCTGTTGTCTGTGACTGTAGGGCAAGGTAAGTACCTGCTCCCCTCCTCATGGACATTTGGCTTTGTTTCCAGGGCCCCATGATCACCCACCTTGCACCCCTCAGTCAGGTGCCCACTCCACCCCTCCCAGCCGCCTCCCAGCCACCTTCCACCCGTGCTCCCAGGACACGGGTCACTGACCCTCCTTTCACTATCCCATGGCCCCCGTGATATCCACACAACCATGACTTCCCCAATCTCTGTCTTCAACTCTTCTGATCTCCAGATCATATAAAAGGCATAATTGTTTACTGTGCACTTCCTTACTCTGTGCCAAGCACTATTCTCAGCATTGTACATGTTTTATTTCATTGAATATTCACAGCGACACAAATGGTGGGTAATATGAGACCCATTTTACAGATGAGAAAATGGAAGCCCAGAGAGATTGAATAACTTGCTCAAGATACACACCTCTTGCCCCCAAGTACCATAGGCAACTCAAATTCAACATGCCCGCGATAGAACTTATCTTCCTCTCTAAACCAGTTTGTCTCCCATGCACACTCTCGGGGGCACATCTCCAATGCCCCAGGCCCAAGCCAAAAACTTCAATCAGCCTGACCCCTGCCGCATCCTTACCCACTCCTCCCAATTTGAGCCAAGTCCTGTGGGCTTTACCTCCTCCGTATCTAGTGAATCCCCTTTCTCCCATCTGCTGCTCCTCCTGGATTATTGCCTTTCACCATACTCCCTCGCAGGCTCCAGTCTCCCCTGTTCCCAACAGCTTGCACACCACAGATCAGGCGGGCTTGGTAAATCTCATCTCACCATGTCCCCATCTCCAGAAGAAAGCCCAGCCTCCTCACCTCAATCTCCTCAAACTGCAAAGTGCAGCAACCAGCCCCAGAAAGGACAACCCTTGTCCTCGACTCTGCTCTGCCTCCTCCCTCTGGGAAGCCATCCCTGGCCTCTGCCCCGCAGCTGGGCAGTGAGCCCCCTCTGAGCCCCACAGCCCCCTCTCAGTCACTTAGCTCCTTCCTCATGACTATCCATCCTCATTAGACTGTGCTCCTCGAAGGCAGAGGTCCAGCCTCATCCACTTCAACATCTCCAGTGCCCAGGCAGGGCCTGCACACAGGAGGTTCTCAATAATTGTTGAAAGGCTGAATGCACAATGACAGAAACCATGAGTGATGCTGCCTCTGAGTCCCAGAAAGCAGGGTAATTCCCGCTTGATCCCAGAGTGGGTGGGGATGCTGGCTGCCCCACCTCCACCCAACCTCTGTGCCTGTCCCCCTGAACCCCATGAAGCCATTTCCTGTCTCTGTACCTTTTGGAAGAACTTCTTCTCTGCATCTTTCTTCTGACTCTGGAATTCCTTAGTGTGGGAGAGCTCTGACACCAGTAGAAGAAAGGGGAATCCAACCCTTTACCTACTTTCAGTCTACATCAGGCATTTTCAAGCTGGGGGGATGATTTTGCCTCCAAAGGTAAGAACATTGATTCATGGAAATGGAAGATGAAAAAATCTTACTCTATTTTGTATAAGGCACAAATCTATATACACAATACTGAAACAGATATATAGTACATCTGTGGTATTAAAATACCATGTGATTAAGAAAGAAAATGTCTAAAAGGCTTCCGAGGGAAGCAATAATGAAAAAAAAGTTTGAGAAACTCAGATCTACATGCTTGGGCCTTGCTTTGTCTGGTCCAAGGACTAGGCAGAACAAGGGAGAGTCTAGAGTCTCATCCCAGGGCAGCTCAACGTACCCCCAGAGCTTACCCCCAGCTAGCTGTTGTCCTTTCCCCAAAACCATCCCTTCCCTACCCTATGCCTGAAAGTCCACCATTCTGTGTCTGGCATTCTTTTAATTTCCTGTTCCTACTGAGGCCGTAGATCGGCTCTTCCTCCATTCTCCCCGGGGGCACCCCAGTTCCCAAGGCTGGAAAGAGTTAGAGACCTCTTAGCTCTGTGCTCCAGCCTTGGGCTACTGCATAACCCTGGAGTTCCTGGAAGAATCCAGTAGGGAAGCCAACCACAGGAGGCACCCAGGAAGTGGGGGTGCCGCTGTGTTGGACAAGGCTTGCTTTATTAGAGTGGGGGGATAGGGTCACAAATAATCTTTCTTAGAAGTGCTCTAGGTGGATGGGGTCACTTAAGGGTGGGACAGTTCGGACTGAAGGTCTGTTGATGGGAGACACAGAGACAGGGGTGAGAGGAGAGGTCATGGGTGGGTTTGGCATGGTCTTGGGCAACACGGGTATTCTGCGGTCTTCATACACCATGGAGTCCTCCAGTATCTGGGGCCTCCGTGCGATGGTGGAGCCAATGAAGACCAAGTAGATGATGCCACCTAAATAGGCACCTAGGAGCGGTGCCACCACTGGCACCCACCACCAATCCCGGGCCCTGCAGGCAAGAGGCAGAGGCCTGCTGAGGGGACTGATGCCCAGCACAGTACCCGCATCCACTCAGGCTGAGACAGGGAGTAGGGCCTGAGAGTAGAGGAGTGATCCCCATTCTAGCCTAAGAGTTGCCCCTGAGCCTGCCAGGTCAGCTTCAGCCTGATTCAGGGACAGGGCTGGTCTGGGGCAGGATTGACATTCAGTCCAAGAGCAGGATCTGCATTGGTGCTGATCTGGGGGAAAGGGAGGTGCTCACACCTGTCTCCCCAGGCCACCTGGGAGTTGGGCAGGACTCTCCTGTGCTGCTCGTCACCCCCCGCCCCTCTGCATGTAGGGCACCATGGAAAACTTGCAGGAATGGGCTGGGCAGGGCAGTACCTGAAGACCTGTATACCCCAGCCAGCAATGTAAGTGAAGAAACGGGGAGGCAGGTCCCGGGATGGGTTCATGGCATATCCTGTGTTCATGCCCAGGGACACTCCAATGACAACAACGAGGATGCCAATCACCAGGGCCTGTGTCCCTTGCAGTGCTGGGTTGTTCTCCTTGTCCGTGATGGCGAAGAGACATAGCTGGAGCATCCCTGTCACTAGCACCTGGGGAGCAGACACCGTGGCAGCCCCCTGGGGCCCCTAGCCAAACCACAGAGCTTCAGCAGTGCCCCGCCCCAACCCACCGGCAGAGACCCCATCCAAAGTTCTCGTCCTTTCTACTGGGAGGGCTGCCTGCTAGGTGGGGGGGCTTGAGGAGGGGAACCCACACTGGACAACTGACCTCATCCAGGAAGCCCCTCCACAACGTTGAGTGGTCAGGAAGGTAGGTGGCAAAAATGTTAGCGGTGGCTACGGGACCAGTCACTGTCAGATGTCCGCCCGAAAATTCGATAATGGCTGCTGTGGAGACACAGACTGAGTGTGAAGCTGCCACCAGCTAAACCCCACTGGAGTCCCAGGGTTAAGGCTGTAGGATCCAGGGGTGGGGAGCAGCTTCAAGGCTTTCTCTCCCAGATGTTTTCACAGACCAGAACACTGGGCTTGGATCTGCCCGTTTTTCAGAGGACGAGGCTGAGGCCAGAGATGGACAACCCAGGGCAGGACACTCACAATAGAAGAGGCAGTAGACGGTGGCAGCAGCCAGGAAGGAACCCAGAAACTGACCCAGGATGTACACGGGAAACTTCTTCCAGGACATGCGGCCTAGTGCACAGTTGGTGAAGGTCAAGGCTGCATTCATGTGGGCCCCTGCGGGGAGGGGCAGAAGTGTCAGAGGTGTGAGAGCAGAGACAAACAATAATAAGAAACAATATGAGAGCGGGGCGCCTGGGTGGCTCAGTCGTTAAGCATCTGCCTTCGGCTCAGGTCATGATCCCGGGGTCCTGGGATCGAGCCCCTGCATCGGGCTCCCTGCTCAGGGGGAGGCCTGCTTCTCCCTCTCCCACTCCCCCTTCTTGGGTTCCCTCTCTCGCTGTCTCTCTCTGTCAAATAAATAAGTAAAATCTTTAAAAATAATGAGAGCAAAAATAACAATAACAGCTGGTATTTATGGAATGGACTCATTTAATCCTCACAATGACCCCACGAGGCAAGGACCACCATCTCCATTTCACCATTAAGGAAAGTGAGAGAGAAGTTAAATAACTTGCCTAAGTTGGCCCAGCTAGTAAAAATGGGGGGTCCAGGGGGGCTTAGGAAGATTCTGGGCAGAGAGGGTCTGAAGAAAGGGGTTGAGGGTGTTCTCCCTCCCCCCATGGCCAGTGAGGATCGGGTTCAGGTGGACTTGGAGAAGGGGCTGGCTGGAGGTAGGCAGGAAGAGCCTGCAAGGGGACACCTGTCCTTGCTGATCAGATGGGGCCCTGGGCTCACTCACCAGAGATGTTCCCAGCCATGTGCACTCCCATGGTGACTCCGAAGCCAAAACCCAAGTTGACACCGAGGAAGCTCCCAAATTTACCTCCTAGAACCATATGGGCCACGGAGCCGAGGCCAAACACCTGCAAGGGAGGGCCTCTGAGGGGACCACCTGCACAGAAGCCCCAACCTCACAGGAGGGCTCGGGCTCAGATTGGGCTCCTCACCCCTATGCCCCAGGCCACTGTGCATTGCCCTTGGAGACCCTCTACCATGCCCTCTTCCTCCATAAATTTTCCTCCCTGACTTCCCTTAATGATGTGACCAGCGAGAGCTGGGTGTGGCTGTACAAGGAGCTGGGAGGGAAGTGGCAATGTCAGGGGCTCTTAAGGACACATCCCGGCCCCTAGACCCCAAGCCAACCTGACGTTCAGGGTAGGGGGCAGGGCTTCAAGGAGGGCATGGTTGATGTGGACTGAACCCCTCAGAGTATCTTACACTTCAACCCAACCTGCAGGAAGTTTCTTCAAGGGATCTCCAAACTGGCCTGGACTCTGTCAGAACCCCACCCCCTACACACACAGCGGCCCCGGAAGCCCAGTGAGGTTCTACTC